CTAATTGTATATATATAATATTACACAATACCCTCAACTACTACCTAGCGACTTCATTTGACACCATAATTTGAAAGCCCCTCAACCGTTTCGCTAAAAAAAAAACCAACAAAAAACACTCCAGACCTTTACGTGGCCCGGAGTTGCCTGGTCTAGAACGGAGTTCTTGCTGGACATATTTAGAACATTTTAGAACATTTTGGAACTATCAAGATATAACGTATGAGCAGGTTTGGAATTGATAGAGCATTATTTAAAAAAATGAAATGCAGTAATCATCAACTTTGGGCCCTACCATTTTTTTGTGAGGCTCGAATTTGAATCATTTGACTTTTGGCAAGATTTTGCAATGAATGCATTAAATCTTCAACTTTGCGCTTCCATTTTGGTACCACCATGCGGTTCCATTTTGGGAGCACTATGCGCTTCCATTTTGGTACCACTATTAACTATGCGCTTCCATTTTGGTACCACTATGCGCTTCCATTTTGGTATCACTGTGCGCTTCCATTTTGGTATCACTGTGCGCTTCCATTTTGGGAGCACTCTGCGCTTCCATTTTGGGGCACTATGCGTGAGTAACAACACCTTACCGATTTTTAGCGACCCCTATGGCCCAACAGGGTCTTTGAAACTTTATGATTGAGGTCACTGCCATTGACAAACATACAAATTAAATCTACATAATGGTCATTAACTACATACAAATATGATATCCATAAGTACAATGATATACATGTCGAAGGGTCGAAAATCAGCAAGGACTGACCATTCTAGACCCTTTGCCGGGTGGTCTCCAGCTCCAGCCATTCCAGACCCTCAGTACTTGAGGGTACTATATAGATATATAGATATAGATAGATAGATAGATAGATAGATAGATAGATATATATTGGGTGTAGCCTAACCTCTGTAACAGTCGGAAAATGGATTTCCTATGAAAGCCTCTTCAAAAGGAGCACAGGGAAATTAATTCATTTTTACCATTTTCTTTTGTGCAAAAATTGTGCTCTAAATCGTGCTGTTTTGGTGTTCCCCTCCGTGCAAAAATCGTGCTCTAGATCGTGCTCTTTGGTGTTCTCCTCCGTGCAAAAATCGTGCCCTACTGTAGCTCGTGCTTTTTGGTGTGGGCTCCGTGAAAATTATTCTCCTTCGTGCAGAAAGTCATGGTCTGGATCGTGCTTTTTTGGAGTTCCTCTTCATGCAAAAATCGTGCTCCAGATCGTGCTCGTTGGTGTTCCCCTCGGTGCAAAAATCGTGCTCTAGATCGTGCTCTTTGGCGCTCTCCTCCGTGCAAAAATCGTGCTCTAGCTTGTGAAAGCTGTTACAGACAATGGGCCAGACCCAACATATATATATGTGTGTGTGTATGTATATATAGATATATATATATATATATACAGATATAGATAGATAGATAGATAGATAGATAGATAGATAGATAAATAGATAGATAGAGATAGATAGATAGATAAAGATAGATAAAGATAGACAAGATAGACAAGATAGATAAAGATAGATAAAGATAGATAAAGATAGATAAAGATAGATAAAGATAGATAAAGATAGATAAGATAGATAAGATAGGTAAGATAGATAAGATAGATAAGATAGATAAGATAGACAAGATATACAAGATAGATAAAGATAGATAAGATAGATAAGATAGATAAGATAGATAAGATAGATAAGATAGATAAGATAGATAAGATAGATAAGATAGATAAGATAGATAAGATAGATAAGATAGATAAGATAGGTAAGATAGATATAAGATAGGTAAGATAGGTAAGATAGATAAGATAGATAAGATAGATAAGATAGATAAGATAGATACAGATAAGACGATAGATAAGATAGATAAGATAGATAAGATAGATAAGATAGATAAGATAGATAAGATAGATAAGATAGATATAGATAGATAAGATAGATAAGATAGATAGATAATGATAAGATAGATAAGACAGATAGGATAGATAAGATAGATAAGATAGACAAGATAGACAAGATAGACAAGATAGATAAGATAGACAAGATAGACAAGATAGATAAGATAGATAAGATAGATAAGATAGATAAGATAGATAAGATAGATAAGATAGATAAGATAGACAAGATAAGATAGATAAGATAGATAAGATAGATAAGATAGATAAGATAGATAAGATAGATAAGATAGATATAGATAAGATATAAGATAGATAAGATAGATAAGATAGATAAGATAGATATAGATAGGAAGATAGGTAAGATAGGTAAGATAGGTAAGATAGATAAGATAGGTAAGAGATGTAAGATAGGTAAGATAGGTAAGATAGGTAAGATAGGTAAGATAGGTAAGATAGGTAAGATAGATAAGTAAGATAGATAAGATAGATAAGATAGATAAGATAGATAAGATAGATAAGATAGGTAAGATAGTAAGATAGATAAGATAGACAAGATAGACAAGATAGACAAGATAGACAAGATAGACAAGATAGACAAGATAGACAAGATAGACAAGATAGACAAGATAGACAAGATAGACAAGATAGACAAGATAGACAAGATAGACAAGATAGACAAGATAGATAAGATAGATAAGATAGATAAGATAGATAAGATAGATAAGATAGATAAGATAGACAAGAGAGACAAGATAGATAAGATAGATAAGATAGATAAGATAGATAAGATAGATAGATAGATAAGATAGATAAGATAGATAGATTAGATAGATTAGATAGAAGATAGATAAGATAGATAAGATAGATAAGATAGATAAGATAGATAAGATAGATAAGATAGATAAGATAGATAAGATAGATAAGATAGATAAGATAGAATAGATAGATAGATAGATAGATAAATACATATATATATACATATTTACATATATATATACATATATATAATACAATACATAAATGTGAACCTCGACCTGAAGAATATCCATATTAAAAGTCATCCCAGCAATTCAGGTCTCAGGTGACTCTCCAGATCTCAGCACCTCGCACGCACGCGGCGCCATTTTTTGCTCCCCGGATCCTCCGAAGCTCTGCACTGACCAGTTTCATCCGCGCAGTTTGACTTCGACGTGGTCTTGCCCAAGGGCGGAACCCCAGTGGTTGATGGGTTCATCGCAGTAAACTTGACACAACTGAAGAATCATCTAACATGGTGGACAGGTACTCAAGTGATACATGAGGAATCAACGGTGTTTTTGTGCAGCGAGATGATTTTCAGCATGGTGGATGTTACACGTGAGTTTACAGCAGGGTGAGTTGGAGGAATGGAGGAATGGGTAGGGTGCCAATAGAAACGCAAGACAGACAAAGGGTAAATGGCAAATGACTAGTAGAAGCTGCTACATAACAACCCATCAAGTGTGGGCGTGTAAAAGCGTGTGGCGCATCAATATTTGAATACCTACACATATTCTAGAATAAATATGAATAAATGCTCATCAGGATGGAAACTTCTCTTGAAACCACCAAGCACCATGCAGTGGTAGCGTTACATTGACGCCTCTGAAACGTGAATTTTCCACAGCAGTGCCGTGAGTCACCGGCCGAGGCCCGTCTCTTCTGGATTGGTTTGCCATCGATGATTGTGCACCGAAATGAACTACTTGAAACTTGAAACCCAAAAAATAAGATAATATATTTAATATACCCTCTGGTAAATTAACATAGACCCTGGCAGTCATAGGGGTTGGAAGACTACTTTCCACTATAAATTGGTCATTTTCAGGGTCTATGTTAACTTACCAGAGGGTAACCATGTTCAAATCCACTTCTGGGGATCCTCCTGAGCGCGACCATTTGGTGAAGACTGACCAACCAATCTCCCCGCGGTCTCACATGGAGGACCCGGCAATAACTGGAACTTCCAAGGGCCAGAGCTGGGTATGTTGCCAATTCTCCTGTTGAGAGCTGGAAATGTAATGTGTAGTTCATTTCACCCAACAGTCCTCCTGGTGAAAATTTACAACAAATCGGCAACATAGATTACAGTATATATATACTATAGACGATTATTGCTATCACTCTATCACTATCTAACGATACATATATTATATATATATATATTATAATCTTTCATATGTTGCCCTCTGCATTCTACGACCTCATGGACTCATGGACCCTTGCTTCTCCATCTTGGCCCAGATAGGCGTTGCAGATCTTGCAACCAGAGATACACAACGGGCAGTTGATCGGCACTCAGTTGCCTCGTTGCATCGGAGATGGAACATGCAGGAACTTTAGCAACTTGAAGTTTGTATCAACACCATAACGATATATATATATATATATAAGGATTATCAACAGCAGCATCAGCCAGGATGATCGCCAGGATTAGCGGAAAAGATCGGAGAATGCAATGTGGGAAGATGAAAATTTGGAGGGCCATCCGTGATCCTTATGTTGCTATCTTACTCTACAATTGTCCGGCATTTCTTCACACAAGATTTCACAGACCTGACATGACCTGACCCAACTTCAACAGCTTCATTCAGGCGCAGCGCCTCATATTTTGTTCGATGTTTTCATGGTCTCCTTCCACTACCTGGTCGTTGTGGCCATGATGAGACTGCCAGGATCCGGGACTAAAAAAAACTCACGAAACATCCACAAACTTATCCTGGAATCAAACATGGCAAGGGAAAATGCCACATTGAAAAATAAGCTTCCTGTTTAGATACCAAATCATAGCGATTTTCCATGATTTTCCTGATTTGCTGTGGCAAATCGGCTGGACCAGTCAGGAAAAAGCTGGTACCCATTGGCAGTTGCATCTCGTACAAGTTCCATCTTGTGCCCATGCAACACCAAGAATGACAACCAGCGTATCTTTATCATCATCCCATTCTATGGGTCCGTCGTTTTTTGGCCGTAGGGTTATAATCCCTTCTGCCAAATTGATATGCCCTACGTTGGATCCGCACGTTTTGAGAGTTCATATGAGGGGTTACTGTAACAGTCGGGTGAAAGGACTCAACCAGCAGCCCACCTTCACTGCAGCAAGGAGTATCTCTGGGGATTCACAACGCGCTGTTTCGTCACAGGGCGCCTCTCCCTGGCATGAAACATGGCATGCTGCCAGTTTCGCCAGAAACCAGCAGAGCCACCATGATTACATATATAATTATATACACAGCACTATATCTTTATATACCTAAACACTTGTATATACAGTATAGTGTCAGTAGGTCTGTGCAATGGATACATACACACACACAGATATGTATAAATATATATATATACATATGTGTGTATATTAGATATATATATATACTGTATATATATATATATCCGTTCTCTCTCCCAGATATTATAAACATAATCCCCGGATTTCTATGGACTCCCTCTTGCCATGTTTGATTGCTGGGATTTTGCACCCAAGGTGAATGACCATGGCGACCATGGGTCGCAGCTCGAAGGCCATGCCAAGGTTTTTTTTGGGAACACCCACCGCTGCCAAAAAAACACCTTTGCGCGAGTCAATGTGTTTTGACCTGAAAGCGCCTGAAGTAAAGGAGCGTTAAACAGTTGAACGGATATTTTAGAAATTCTGTTAACATGTTGGACGCCGATCCGCACAGAATCTACTAAAATGACCTATAAAGGTGGTAGGGCGATACCTGGGTTATCTCCATAACCTCATGATGGGTCAAGGCCCCGCCTTTCGCTGTCCTCCCAGTCCATCAAAAACAGCAGAACCAGCTCCAAGAAGGCGAAAATCAGAAAGCAACTGGTGCACAAACCTCGGCCAAATGGCACAGCACAAAGGCCGTAGCTGGCGAATTTGACAAATGCACATCACATTCACATGACATTATACTAGACTACATGAATCATGACATACATGCATGTAATACCAAATGTCATTGCGCTTCTGCAATTTCTCAAATGATTCTGAAGTGCACGGACGCACTGCTTTTCATTGGGTTGCGCCCACTACCATCTCACACGGTTTTCTGAATTATTTCACTGTTACTCCACTGTCATCTCACTTTTACTGCCCAGCATTGCTGGGCAGACCTCACCTCACAAATCAACAAGGTGCCTAAATCCAAGGGCATTGGGCCGACATCTATTCGGCATTCGCTACATGACAAATACTGAACAAGTTCAGCACATCATGTGATATACATATGGGTCGTGTGGTTAAGAAAAATGTGAAACGGAGATACTCTACAAGAGAATACTCGAATTACAATATGAGCCAATATGCATACATGCAAACACTATAACACATGGATTACTAGTCACGTGCAACTTGGGATACGAACCAAGCCCTCCAGACGTACCGCCCATGAAATGCTGGTGAGACATCAAGCCATTCTGGCACGGGATGTGCTGCATGCTTTGCACGATTTAATGTGGGATACAGATTAGTGTGGGGATACAGAATTGTGTCCACAGACTCCAAAATTATTTTGTATCTTTGGAAATGATCGAGGGGTACAGTTTTGTGTCCACAGGATTTTGGTGTAAGTTGTTTTTTCATTTTTTGTTTTTTTAGTTTTAAATTGTTTGTTATTTTTATTTTTAATTAAAATAGTTTTTATTTTTTATTTAATTATTTTTTTATTTTATTTTAAATTATTTATTTATATTTTTAATTATAATATTTTTTAATTCAATTATTTTTCATTTCTATTTTTAATTATAATATTTTTTCTATTATTTTTTTGGTTTTTTAAAATTGTGTCAGGATACACAATTGTGTCATTGTGTCAGGATACACAATTGTGTCTTGGTCTTGTTTCTGTTTGTTCAAACATTTTTCATTTTTTTTCATGTTTTAAAGCCTTTTTATTGTACTTTTTATTTTCCATCATTGAAATTTTCCAGATGCCTTCCACAGAAAATTACATCCAGGTACACAATAGTGTGGTTTGTTTGGAGGGTACACTATTGTGTCCAGCTGCTTTCCTGAGGTCATGATTTTTTGATTTTTTTCAATCATTTCCTTTACCTTTTCCTTTGCTAGCTAAAGTTTTTTCCTTTTAATTAATTCCTTTCTTAGTTTCTTTCATTTGAAATTCTCAGAAATGCCCAGTTTCCCAAAATATATGATGCCTTATTAAAACCCAATTAAAAAACATCACCCAAACAATTTTTCAAGGGGGTAGTCCATGAGCAACCCTGATACACAATAGTGTGGTTTGTTCAAGTCACAAAAATATGCATCATGATCATAACTGGTTGGTGGTTTCAACCCCTCTGAAAAATATGAAAGTCATTTGGGATGATGACATTCCCAATATATGGAAAAATAAAAATGTTCCAAACCACCAACCAGCTGTATATTTCGAATGATTCCAGTGTCTTCGGCCGGCTTCGGACCAGGGGCTGGCGCCATTCGCTTTGTCTTTGTAGGTGTCATCAAAGGGGGAAGCCGGCTGCGAAATCTGGCAGGCCCAGGCCTGGTCCGACACGCTAAGACGCTAAGAGGAAGGCGCTTGACAATACAGCTTGCCGCAATCACATGCATATGCATCTACCATCTGGTTATGACTAACATAGCCATGGAAAGATCCACCATTTTTAATAGGTAAACCATCTATAAATGGACCATTTTCCATGGCTATGTTAAATAACCAGAGGGTACATCATTCTACATCCACATTAGCTTTCAATCAAAAACAATACCTGTACATTGCACTCCAGATCCTGCTATAGAAATTATATTACACAAATACATACAAATACACATCACACTGCATTGCACATGACAGCGTGCAGGCTTGTTGCACATCACACATTGTGATCCGATACATTTCACATTGCAGCTCATTCATTTGACATTGAGAAGCAAACACGCTGCATTGCAACTACTGAACCGTCGTCAACTTGCACCGCATAAATTCCATGCACAAAAGCATGAATTTGGATATCATAACAACTCCCAATTCCAAACTCAGAAATAGCGTCTTGTGGTTTCCCTTGCTAAACATTGTGTATAGATTGTACAGTGAGAACACCTTCGTCGATCTGCCAATACTCCAAATGGTTCCAAATGTGCATACACATGTCTTGCGGCCCACAAGTCCACAAGGAGAGTCATACTTCTCGCCAGCGTTTTGCGCACGAATGACTTACCACGAATGTGCTTGTTGATGCTAGGCGGTGGTGTTTGGGTGCAACCCCCGAGGTCCCGAGGTCCCGCGGGAACTGAACGTGCACTTGGACTTGCACACAAACTTGCTTCACAATACTCGAGGCTAATTGGCTATGACACGCTCACTACACATATTATTTGATATTTGCTATAATTATATTAAATATATGAGATGTGTATAATTGACAATTGCACACATGCTCAATGCACTCTGAATGCTACGTGAAGAGATGGGGTGAGGAAAGGTTGGGCGTTTGTTTTGGGGTAGGGTGGGCAATGTCTCTCATGTGGATTTAAGAAAGGTCCACCCTGTGCCAAGATTTGCTACAAAGATTTGATAGGTAATTGCAGATTAACGGGTGAAATGTTTATATGTTCCAGTTTCCCATGTCCCCCGAAAATGGCATCGAATCGGCTCAAAACTGTGGCAACTGCAAATCCACCCCCGAAAAAAAAGTATCTGAAATCGAAGAATTCTGACCATGAAAACACGTGAAAACGCTGAGTTTTCGCTCTGGCATATCTTTTGGAGATGAAAAAATCGAGAATTCCCGCAGAAATCCCTCGGCCGCAATGGCTTTGTTACTTGCCATGGCATATAATCAAATGTCATATAGCATTTATATATATTATATACACTGTAAATAGTCATGCATCGATTTATTAATCATTAATTCATTCATCCATTTATTTATCTATTGTCTATTGAGGTATCTATTTATCTTATCAATACTGCTATAGTTGCCGCTTAATCATTATCATAGTATTTCCTATTGAATAGTATCACTGACATATTGAATGCCTTGACATACTTCTTATACTTATATATATATATAATACCTATACATACCTATACGTACAGATGAAATATATACATTGATCTATTTATTATGTATTGATTTATTTATTCAAAACACTAGGTTCGCACCTATGTGTATGGCACAAGTGAACAGGGTACTCCTGCGTGCTCATTCTCCGAGGTGTTCCTCCTTTTTGTGCTTTTATCGTTCTGGTCATTGCATGTCTGTCCGAAGAATTAGGGTTACTTACCCAGACTTACCCACTGTGATCATATTGCATCAATATGCATCAATATTGCATCCACATCTACCTGCCCCACCACCTCCTCCTGCCCCTAGCCTTCCAGAAGAATTGGATGTTGTAGCATGTGAGTGCAAGCAGCGGAATGGTGACGATGACCAAGACCGCACAGAAGCAGCACCAAAAAACTGTATTGGCCTGGGAATCAAATGGAACCATCATGTTCTTTACAGAAAGCCACGCTGCTTTTCCTATACAGTTGGCCCATGTGCCATCGGATAAATCAACGAGGAATACGAGGACAAAGAATCCATGATTCCAGCTGGTCCCTAAGCTTATTATAAGCCTGTAAGAAGCAGTTCGGTGGCCATGGCTGCAACTGAGATCGCATGTCCAGAAGTTTCTGTCGCGGCTCCTGGTGGGACTGTTCCCCGTCCTGAACTCAACTGCCGGGTGGCAAGAGCATTGCATCTCGCGCTCCAATCTGCGCACTTGTCAAGTTCGTTGACGACGGAAATGAGCACGAAGACAGCCACGCATATGACCTGCAGCAGCCACGGTAGCCCTTACTTCCTGGATGTCTGGATAAGAGGATCCATTCAGTGTAGTGATCCATGGGTTTTTTCGAACCACATTACCCGCAATTTTGATGCACCCAAAAGCGCTATGGAAGGGCGGCCCAGGCGAATTCCATGAGGTGGACAGGGATGCCCAATAGTAGCCCTGACCCTGCCGCCAGATATGCTGAGATGCCAATCCCTTGCTTGGAATATTCCTGAGCCGGGGCTGCAAGAGGGGAACGGTTGATTTGCATGCAAGATCATGCAAGGTGGCTATCGCAAGTCGAGCGCCGGCCTTGTGCACAAAAAGACCTGGTCTCCAACACCATCTTTGCGAGAGTAAGTTCGTCCAACCGCGTGTCAAACAAACGCCAATGATGCAAAATAGCACATTGAAGCTTTTGCCGTGTCCGCAATTCGATTTTATGGGCTAACTAGCCTGGATGCCATTTAGCTTGGCAAAGGAAACAAGAGACCCATGGCCAAATGCCAAGTTTCGTGGCAATGATGCAGTTCACACGCTCAACCAGGAGAAACATCGTGCTCAAGGTTGTCTGTCCAGGCTGGGGCTGGATCAGGCATCATGCAGAACCCAGGGAGACCATGGGAGATCTGCTCGGTCGACATGGGGTTCTATGCGGGGACTCGGGGGGCCCGGGCTCTTGACGCTCATGTTCAATGCAGTCCAGATTTATTGGAATTTTATTGGAATTTTGCGGTTGCATTTGTTCCAGTGTGTACAAGGCCTTTACCTTCAAATGCAGTCATCGCGATGGCCCGACAATGCTGAGAAATCAGACTATAAGAATTGTATAGAATTGTCAGTTTCGCGGTGCACACTTGTAGAGGAGTGGGGAACTGGTTACGCCACCTGCAAGCAAACGAAGAGCACGGAGGAAAACCTCGGCGTGTTTTGAGCCCGGATAAGTTGAGCGCAACAAAAACATCTCCGGCTATACTTATTGCTGACTTACCAGTCTCACTTCGGGTTTTGCCCGACCCGACTCGGAAAGATTAGGTTGTTCAGGATCTTTATGGCCCGTTGACCTCAAAAAGTACCCAAGAAAAGGTAGGTTCGGTTTGGGCAATGTTAGCGAAAACTTTGAACCCGTTTGGCATTGATATATAGAAATGAAATTCTAAGATCCAAACAGTGATACACAGTGGCACTGTGGCTTGTGGATATCTTTGGAGATGCGTTTCACCCATCTCATGCCCCAAATACTTTTCACACCCCCGTCCCAAATACCCTTTGGTAAACGTTTACATAGCGAACTGGAGAATCACCATCTTTAATAGATAAATCAACTATTCCTATGGGCAATTTTCAAAGGCTAAGGCTATAGTGAATTACCAGCAGGTATGTGTATTTCAAATCCCCCCAGTCATCACCATTTCTATAGGTGGTAAAAACCTTATAAACCATTCCCAGTCATGGGTGGTTTATGGCACTGTTTTACCCACATTAATCATGGCAATATAGATATACTATAACACCATATATATATATCCATAGATAATGTCATAGGTAATATGGATATACTATAACACCGTATATATATATATATATGTCCATGGATAACGCCATAGGTAATATAGATATACTATAACACCATATATATATCCATAGATAACGCCATATGTAATATAGATATACTATAACACCAAGTATATATATAACACCATATATATATATCCATAGATAATGCCATGGGTAATACAGGTATACTATAACACCATATATATATACATATCCATAGATAACGCCATAGGCAATATAGATATACTATAACACCATATATATATATATATCCATAGGTAATGCCATAGGAATATGGATATACTATAAAACCATATTTATATATATCCATGGGTAACGCCATAGGTAATATAGGTATACTACAACACCATGTATATATATATATATCCATAGGTAATGTCATAGGTAATATAGATATATATACTATAACACAATATATATATATACACATAGATAATGCCATAGGTAATATAGATATACTATAACACAATATATATATATATATATATTCATAGATAATACCATAGGTAATAATAGGTAATATAGATATACTATAGATAATACATCACGCACCATGGTTTCTGACATTTTCAAGGCGCAGCTCGATGAAGAGCGTCTCCCAGCGTTGATCACATCTGGACCTCGACGACGAAAAGCCTGGGGCCATGACGGCCGTCTGCTGGTTGAACTTGGCGTCAAAAAAGACAGCAAAGTCGAAAAACATGGGTATAATATTATATATGGTTATATATGTATATAATTGTTTAGATATATTTAGAGTTATAATGAGTTATATGTATTACATGCAAACATATGTGTACATCTGTGTGTGTGTTTCTGTATGCATATAGTTGTACGTAGACTCTGGATCATCCGAACATCGACCGAGCAGCGATGGTTAATGCACGCCAGGGCGTTGTTGATCTTACTGACCAAAAACTTGATCACGAGGCATATGAAGAGACATAGCGTAAGCCTCACATGAAAACCGCCGGCTTGTTTTGTTCCATGTTTTCGTGGGCAAATCACCATGTCTTGTGGTTAAAACACCATGTTTTCTGGGGACCCAAATCTCCCTGAATGCCTCGGGAGAAGGTGAATATGGAGACAATGACAATGGACATCCCTTTGTTCACAGCCAAAACAGAATCAATTAACGTAGAAAGTCACCCCTCATATTGCCCCCACTGGATTTTCGCATCTAGCCCCAGCAACCTGTGAAACTCAACCATTCTGCGCTCACTCCACTCCAGCTTCGCTTCCTTTTGATCAAACTGCAAGGTGGCTGTCAAGTTTGAGAGGCCAGGCACCTGCGGTTGCTCAACGGTGCCGGGCCATGGAAAATCACGGCGAGACGTCATCACAACTGCATCGGGCAGCGCGCCTTGATATCCTCTGCGGCTTCTTTCATGTTTGCCGCCAGATCTTTCGCTTGATCGGTAACATTATCCATTTTTTCTCCCAATGTGATCAGGTTCAAGTACCTCGCCTTGGCAAAAGCAGCACAAACTGCCCGAGATTTATCACTTTTCATTCTCACATGGATTTCATAACCAACAACTCAACCCCGGATCCAGAAATGCTGGAGGCAAAGGATTTTTTGGTTCGATTGTGTACTTGAGAATGTGACTCTGTGGTGTCCTCCCTAATCTCCGTAGAGGTGTCGTAATATGTTGAAAATTCTTTGGAGCACTGGGGTCCACCCGGGCCAGTACAAGATGACGAAAAACGGGTGGTGTCAGGCTGATTTGACTTGACAATAACCGACTCATTTAGGCTTATGGGGTAGGGCAGTAGGGCGGGGCATGTGGGAACCAGGGGGCTGGGACATCTGGGGACCAGCGAGGCTTCTCCCAGCCTACACACTGAAACTTTGCTGCCTTCACAGCAGCATGCTGCAGTCAAGTTTCTAGCCACCCTACCTTGCCAAACATGATTTGTTGTTTCCTCGGCGTTCCGCTGAGCAGAGATGGGGTCATCTCATCTCATTCCCCCTTTGCAGCTTCAGTTGACATCCTCAACGGAATTGGTTAAAATAATTTGGGACCTCTAAATAAATGGATTCCAAAACTTGCAAAACAAACCATTGTGGATGCTTTGGTGGGTTTCTCCGAAGGTGTTCCGTAGAAATGACTCCCCCTCTGCGGTCAAGGCTAAAAACATTAGTCCTTCCAAGGCTACGGGCAAAAACGCATAGTGAAACATGACTAACATTTTTCGCCGGGGCTTCCAACGGTTTGCCCAACATAACATAACAAGACTGGCGTCATCACCATCGGAAAACCAGGGTGCAGCCATCATTCACTGCCATTGGCCCATGCGTTTCTCTCTCCAGTTTTCGCCCAGTTTCGTGCAATGGCCGGTGTAGGTTTTTAACTTGCCAGTGTGCATGAGATCGGGGTCCATAACGCGCCTCGGTTTGTTTCACAGCTCCCAATCATAAAGTTGTTGATAACCCACGTTACCCCACGCTTAAGCAGGGTTTATTCAATTTACATCTGAATTATAACATGGTTGCTAGCCACATATCAAGTGGGATATGCCAACTGGAACCCACATCCAAGGCATCCCAAATATTTCGATATTGCGTGGGTCCTCACAAATCGGACCATCAATGGGGGGGATCAACATCCAGCTATGCCAACTATTCAAGTGTAAAGGTTTTGACCCCATGTATCCCCATACCCAGACAAATCACACAAAATCAAATATAATATAAATCATAATATAGCTAGTATATATATATGTGTATATATAAATAATTATATGTATATTAAAGTATATATATATATATATATATCATTATATGGTGCCCCCCCCAAAAAAAAAGTCTACCGTTTTAAGGTTCATTTACTTGGTCGGGGGTGCCATACATAAATGCAGATGCTATATGCAAATACACCTGAAAGAAAAGGCTTGAAATCGACACGCGCACACCATTACGTTACTTGAACTGTGAAGTTCAGACCTGATGTTCAGACTTGATGTTCAGACTTGAGTTCAGTCTTGGGAATCTTCAATCCAGGATGGAAGATTGAAGATTGAAGATTCTCCAGGGCTCTTCGTGTTGCCTTCTTCCAACTCGCCAGCTTGTCAATTGCCATGATGATGACCTCCTGCTCAACAGGTCTCTTCTTAAGACCGAAGGTGCGGTCTTGAACCTTTTGCCACACGAGAAAAGCTGAAGAATGCTTGGCAAGGAGCTCATCATTGAGTTTGGTCCAAGCCTCTGAATCTTTGAAGGCATCTCGCACGTAAGTGACCATGGAATTGTCACCTTTGCACTTGAGAACCCATTCAACATCAGCCGGGCTTGAATCCAGAAATCCGGGAATTGGGGAAGCCAAGCAAGCGATGGCTAAGCACGTCTTCTGCATGCGCTCAACAGCCTCCTTGAAATTGGATGAGAAATCAGCCATCACATCTGTGCAATCAGGAGCATCAATTGATCAGGAGGGTGAGCTTCTGACGATGCTCCTTCACATGGGTAAGCAGCGCCAACAAGGCATCACACCCAAAGGCTTTCTTCAAGCAAGAGGCCAAGTCCTGCAATCGGTGGGTTCGCCCTGACTACTAGATTAAGATTGAAGATTCTCCAGGACTCTTGCTGGGGAATCTTCAATCCAGGATTGAAGATTGAAAATTCCCCAGGACTCTTCTTGGAGAATCTTCAATCCAAGACTGAGGATTCAATATTAAAGGTTCTCTCCTGGATTGAAGATTCTCCAAGAAGTCCTGGGGAATCTTCAATCTTCAATCCTGGATTGAAGATTTCCCAACAAGAGTCCTGGAGAATCTTCAATCTTCAATCCTGAAATGAAGATTCCCCAGCTTGAGGGACATGTTCAAACTTTGTCAAAGGCCTGCGTCTTTGGCCAGATCTTTGCAAAGCGTCACGTCTGTCACCTTCAGTCCATCGTTTATAGCTCTCGGCTCGAAACATCGTCATCATCCCGTCGCCCACCATAGAGCACAAGATGTCCATCCCTGTTGAAGGACGTGTGACCTTGCAGAACAACCGGGCCGTGGTGGTGCTGAATGTGGCCGCCAGCAGCCAGGCTGAAGAGAGACCAGCCTCAAGCACTCCTCGACAAAGCTTGGCCGCCATGGTCTGCAATGTGCAGAAAGGGCTCAAGTTGGAGCCCGTCCGCCTGCATGGCGCTTGGAACGCAGCTGCCGAGGAGAAACTGCTGGAATGCCTGACCAAGCCGAAGAGGGTGGTGACTCCGAAGCAACATGTCTCATCCCTTCCTGCGCCTGCCCCAGCTGTGACCTTCATTTGCATCTCAAGAAAAAGGTTTGTCTTTCTTGCAACTCCTCTTCCCGGCAAAGCAGCGCCACATGCATGATCCTACTAAGGTCCTTCAGCTTGAAGCCTGAGCATGTCCTGATCTGCTTAATGCTCCAGCGTGGCTTCACAATACACCGCTTGTGATTTTGCATTCACGGACACAACATGGCTCACTGTGCCCTTAGCTAGTTTTTGCTTCGCATCATTCCTTGCATTTGCGCATTCTGTCATGGTGTCCAAATTCATGAACTTTCCTGGGCCAAAGAAAAGTAAAGGCCGCATGGTGATCAAGCGCCCAGCGACTTTGAAGTCGCAGTCTTGGAAACAAGTTCCATATGTTCTACTTCTACCTTCCCCATTCCCAATAGCTGTCCCTACTTCTGCCATTTTTAGATGTAAAATCTTCAGAAATGATGGGGGGGACCACCAACGCCTGAGAATAGCAAAGTGGGCATCATTCAAGCACATGCATTTTTTCTTCCCCTTGCAGACCATCTGAAGATCTATGCGCTAGACATGGCTTTACAAGGAATCCAAAGATGGAAAAAACTTCCACTAACATTGAATGGGCAAAATGCTCGAAGTTCCCTTTACATCTTTGCAGAAACAACGCCTCTATTCCGAAAATGCGCAAAGTTCCAGGCAGGCATTTTTCATTGCAAAAGTTCTTGAACCTATTGTGGCCCTATAGACAGGTCTGAAAACCGTTTCAAACCGTTTCAAACCGTTTCCGCAGATTGAGAAGGATTCCACTTTCTAATGTGGTGAGACTGATGCCTGCAGTGAGAACGATTCCTGGCACGAATGCGATGAGAACGATATCTGAGACCAGTGCCTTAGTTTTTACACATCTTCCCGTCATTCTCAGCATGCCTGTCTGCATGCACATCCTGCCTACCTTTCCCTACCCTGTGTGGAACCCTACCAGCCTACTACCTCCAGGTTCTGTGTCGCGTGGTTGTTTTCTCAAAAATTTGAAGGGTAGGGTTTCAGAGAGAACGATGCGAAACACTGAAAGGTATGCTGCTTCAAGACGCTACCTTTCCCATTTGCATTTTTTCCCTACCCTTCAGAATTTCGCGAAAAAAAGTCGCAGCTGTTTTTTCAACAAGACCGACTGACATGATGAGTACGATTCCAACAGCCAATGTGGCGAGAACGATTCCGTACACCAATGCGCTTGAGACCGATGAATGAATGTCATCAGAACGATTCCTAGCCCCAATGCGATGAGAACGATTCCAGACCCTCATGTGGTGAGAAAGATGGCTGCTGAGAACAATTCCTTCATCCAATGTAATGAGAGCGGTTTGGAACATCTATGTGACGAGAAAGATTTAAATAATCAAAGCATTTGTTCCCACGTGAAGATTCCGGATGGCTCTTCACTTCATCAAGGGTAATGGGCAACGAAGGCACAAAGCCCAAAAGACAGGCAATGGTAGGGTGAAGAGCACTTTTTATAGGTCTCAAATTGAATGAATGGAGGCCATCGAAAGTTTAACAAAAAGAAGCCATACACCCCACATGTGCGAGAAAATGCCTGCAAAGCATCACAATTAATACACCTGGATCAACAGGGGCGTGGCAGTCAACCCCTCTTTTTTTTGCTTTGCATCGATCTCAGGACCTGGAGCAGGATCATTTTGAAGCATGCGAATGTCAGAATAGAATGAGAAAGCGTTAGATATGTCAGAGGAAACCGCGCTGTTCCAGCGCGGGGGGTTCGAAGAGAACAAGCTCACTGGCGCCGCGTCGTGCCTGCACTTCTCAAGGCCTCAGACATCGACATAGACAAGATGCTGATTCATGACAAGATCTTGCCCGATTGGTCAGGCAAACGTTGCCCCAAGTGCAACTGCGGCACTTTGTCTTCCTTGCAAACCCATTGCAAGGAAAGCAAGCCGAAGTACCGGTGTAGCCCCAAAGCCACCCAGCAGAGAGTCCATCCACAGTACTTGCACCCACTTTTCCATGCTGGCCGGGGCCCTGAAGCTGTGTCCCTTCAAATCCAGGCAGCGCTACTGCTTCTTGTGATCCTTCCTGTCCCTCAGGCTTCAATCCACCTGATCTTGGGTGTGAACCACAAAGTGCTTGAAGCCATGCAGAAGAATTTGCACCTGGTTCGCAAGAAGTTTGTCCTTAAGAAGGAGAAGGACATCAAGATTGGAACTTCCGCAAAGTGGTGCGACGTTGAGGGTGACGAAGCAACGTTCGACAAGAGGGATGTGTCCTGTGATGCAGGCTGGGAGCATGAAGTGAAGGCTTATCGCTCACTGCTCTGGGAGCAGTGGTGTGGGTTGGTTCAAAGGGGAAAGCCCCAGACCCTCGTCCTTGCTCGACTCAACTCAACCCTGACGGCTACCCGCTCTCCAGGCATCACAAAACATGATTGGGCCCCTTTGGGCGAGAAATGGCTGGCCAACCGCTCTGTGATTTTCCACACTGACTCCGCCAAAGCGTACAAGATGAAGCTCCCTGGCGTTGTTCATGATTCGGTTGTGCATCAGAAAAAGCGGTGAAAAAATGGAAAGTGGCATTGGACCAAGCCAAATTTTGTGAAGGTGAAAGTCCACAAGTTGCCCGGGGGCAAGACCTTGAAGGTGAAATGTGGCACCCAGCTCATCGACCGGTGCTGGAAGTTTATCAAAGAACGTTTGTCGAAAGGGACACACGTTCGGGCTGGCATGAGCAGCTTGCAAGCGCAAATTCAAATCCGGTCTGCCCAATACGAGTGTTGGTACCGTGTGGGCGACATGTGGGTGCGCACGGGAGAACTCCTGTCCACTTACATGTCTGACATTGTCACACCTGCGTCTTGAACTCTCCTGCGCCAGGACATCAGCTGTGAGAAAAGATTTGCGGCTTTGCCGCCGCAAGCGTGCTTCATTCCATCCTACAACATCGAAATTCGGATTTGTGTATCCTTTATTCTCACTATACTGCCATGAAGAACGACGGCTCCCCATGACTTCACAGGCTTCAATTCCTGGATTGATGACTGAGGATGGCAGCCCACCCATGACTTCACTTCCACGTCTGGATTGATGACTGAAGATTGCAGCCCACCCATGACTTCAGAAGCTTCCATGTCTGGATTGATGACTGAAGATTGCAGCCCACCCATGACTTCACTTCCAAGTCTGGATTGATGACTGAAGATTGCAGCCCGCCCCTGACTTCAGAAGCTTCCATTTCGAGATTGAAGATTGTGCATTACAACCACTCTAGTCCAGCTGGAATACTGCTACCCTCCCAAAACCACAAAAAAAGGTAGACTTTTCAGGGTGGGTGGCATATATATATAATCTCATCTATTTGTATGTGACTCTTTTCCAATTTGGAAGTGACCTTTTGGATCATGTCAATATCGCAGTAATATCATTGGTGTCAATGTATGTTGGATCATTGGGTCATATTGATTTGTTGGGGCATGGATTGTTGGACTCATCAATGCCCAAAGCAATGCCAGCCTTTTTTCTCAAGATCGGAACGGTTGGTTCTGTGGCGTCTGCAAACCCCTGCTGGGATCTCAGCTCAGCTACATGTTGCAACAGGGGTGTAAAGATACAATGGGCTATGTAAGGTGTAAAGATAATAAAACAAGTAGGTGTAATTTAAACAGGAAAACTTACATCATTATCATCATCATCCATCATTGTCATCCCCCACTTGTTCACCAAGCTGATGTCCAGCCTAAACGCATGACTCCAAGATGTAAGCAGGTTTCAGCTGATAATTGTCAGCTTAGCTGATCACTCTGCTTCCCCAGTTTCTCTCAAAATCTTCAGCACAGAAGGATGGTCACGCGGACCATGCTGAAGAACCCACCTGAGAGCATATGAGGAAAAACATAGCATAACAAAGAGGCTTGAGACATCAAGAAGGAAAAAACATAGCAGGTTTGAAAACACCAAGAGAGAAAAACACAGAATGTTTTGCTTAGCAACTGCAGACGGGCCCGAACAGCAGCAGCAGCTGCATCCCCTGCTGACATGTTTGCATTCCTCGCATGCTTGTGCGCGTTCGAGTATACCTTAGATACATGATTCCTAAAACTCTTCATAGATTCTAATGTAAACATACGCACACAGACTCACAAAAGAAATGCTTAGAACAGCTTAGGCGCGGAGTGCATCTTGCGTTCAACATCATCCTTGTGTTTGGTGCTAGCATTCGTAGCTTTGGTTTTCGGTGTGGGCTTTCGTTTGGCCAACGCCTTTGCCTTTGGGGATGCCTTTGCCTTCGGGGATGCCTTTTTTTTGGCCAATGCCTTGGCCTTGGGGGAACACTTTGCTTTTGCCTTTGTCTGCTTTGCTGTCCTGGCTTTGGCCTTTGGTGTCTTTGGCGTAGCTTTCTCTCCAGAAACCTTGCGCTTTGTTTTTGTCTTTGCTGCACACTTGGCGGTGGTCTTTCGAGCAGACATGCCAGTGAGCTGAGCATCACCCTTGCGAACATTACATTTGGTTTCAGAGGCAGCTGTGGCCACATCCACATCAGTTTCAATCTCGGTAGAGCATCCTGACAAAACCTCCACTGCAAAGTTTGTCTCAGGCCCTCCCACAGCAGGCGACATATCATCACCACATTCCATAGCATCCTGCAAAGGTGACGATAACCAAAAAATCACCCCCAATGAGCGTCCAAACTTTACAGGTCATTATAGTTGAGTAGAACGCAACAAGGTGTACAGAAATGATATGCAATAGTTGATGCGCAATCAACAAGTGGCAAAAAGTGCTCCAAACATGTTGCAAGCTTAACAGGCTCACAGGGGTGTGCAACATACAGTCATACTTTTTACTCATCAAATAATACCCATCAAGTGGTGATAGTTGGTGATACCAGACCGTTGGCAAATGCTCAACACAACCGCGGATTGCCTCAGCGACACTCTCCAGAGCATTACCACGAACTTCATCATTCTCCTCCCCCGGGAAAAGGAAGCTGAAACAAACATGGAACTATTTTTATGCACATGATGTACAATATTATATTAAATTATATTATATAATATAATATACACTACATTGTGTCTTTCTCCCCTTTTGGGAATGCGGGGACATGCAGGGACAAATTGATGTATGATCATCTTACTCATGACCCTGTGTTCTTGGTTTTTCCTGTGTTTAATGAGTTTATTCCTACATGACTTATGGTTTTACTATCTTCTATTTTTGGTTGAACCATCAACGAGATTTGTTGGAGTAAAGACCATGTAGGTATTGATAACCCCATGTGTGTTATTTACAACCCGTCCTTCTTCTCCGTCCCTGTGTGACTGAGAAACGATGGCGAGCGGCTCCTGGAAAAGAGCAAGAGGTTCCACTAGCTCGATGAGGCTGGTCAAGTCATCACTTGCGTCAAGACGACGTAGCCGACGGTGGGGCCGGGTTTCAGCAGAATCCTGTTTTTCGACAAGCCAATGGGAGTCAACCTGGACATATCTACCTGTCATGGCATAGTTTGACTATAGATACCAACATTCATCAACTCTGTTTGATTCAAGTATCCAGTTCGGTTGTCTTTGGCGACGGGGACAAACCTTCTTGGTTGTCAGGATAATAGCCATGGATATTGTGAAAAAAGTATTCACGACGATCTGGTGTGGGAGAAGCAGAGAGAGGCATCACATCAGAAAGAGCATCTGCTGCTGTAGCATCTACTGGTTGATCATCATGATGGGGCACCCCTGCATCATCGCACATGTCATAGTCCGGCAGGGGATAGTCTTGTGTTGGGTAGTCATGAGTTGACCTGAGTCAAACGAAATCAACATAAATTTCTTATTTCTTAAGGCCAATAAAACTATAGTAAACTAGTAGATAATACACAATCAATAAACTACATTGAAATAGTGTGAACTATCATGAAGATCCATGAAGTCTAGTCACACATCCCCAGTGCCCATGGCTGCATCTTTGGGAACACCAACAGCGCAGGCGTAGGCTATGAATTCAGCAACACTTTCTGCGGGAAGGCCAGCAGAACCCGACCTGGGATGGAGGTCGATGGTGTTATTGTTTTCTCTGGGGACCAAGTAAATGTGTTGAATGATTTTGCTTAGCATTGCTTACTAGCAACGTTTCAGGCAGATCAAGTACAACTTCTTGATCACCATTCCCTTCAACTTCAAACTCGAAAGGAACGTGGTCATCCTGGAATGGTTGCACCAGTGGTTCAATTTGAATGGGGAGAACGAGAATCAAGAAAGGTTTCAAGTGTGGAGAATGTTATATAGATAAGCATGGTTCAATGACATTACTTTACATGGTTCAACATGACATCCATATCACACCCAATGCGGTCCTTTTTCTTGGATCCCCGGGAGGCTGCAGGACGCTTCTTGCTATGTTCTTTGGTCTTGGTTCCGGGTTTGCGTTTGACTTCCTTATCACTTCCCCGATCCAAAACACCTTCCAACCCATCAAGGTCATCGCTTTCATCATCATCCTCATTGCCCTTCTTGCCTGCTGTCAGCGGTTCATGGTCAGCATCTTTATGAACCTTTTTACCTTTCTTTTTTTTTGGTTTCTCATCTTCTTCCACCTTTGGGGGGGATGAAGAATCCTCCGCAGACGAACCATATCTTGGCGGCAACTCCCATGATGTGGTTGCCGTCGGAGGTCTTGAAGCTTGACCTAGGATAATCCATTATCTTGAATTTATGAGACGAAATAGTATCAACCAACCCATTATCTTGAAATTGTGAGACATAATAGTAATGGTATCAACCAACCCATTATCTTGAAATGATGAGACATCAAACATAGTATCAACCACCAATCTTGAAAGGTATGGCTTTCCACTTGGGATCACAAGAGATCAAATTATGATATCATACCTTCTCATAAATGAACCAAGATGCCCGGCACTGCGGCAGCTGGGGCTGCCACAGCTGGGGCTGCCACAGCTGGGGCTGCCACAGCTGCCCTTGTCCCAGGTGCTGCACTAGGCCTTGACGATGCTGAGGCGGAACTGGACCGAGTGGTCTGCATGACTTTGCCAAGATCAAATGCCTTAGTGATTGGGGAAAGCCACGTCAAAATCTAACAAAAAGACTCATTCATGCCTGATACTGATACTGAACATCATAGATCCGTTGGGAACATGACTAATAAGAGATATCATTGTTTCTTGCAGTCGGAGAACAGGGGCACGGAAGGTGAGATCTTGCACCAGTTGACAACTATCATCTGAAGCAGGGCTGTGTTCCCTGGAGACCATGGCCGGTTCCTTTCGTGTGGATGCCTTTTTCATTTTGTTCGACATCTGGTTTAACAGTTTTGTCAAACCGTGGTTCCTGTGGTTCGAGCCTTGCAAATCAATGAAATCAAAATAAAAAATGATGATTCCCATGGTGTGTAATGTGCACTGATGACATTGCTTAGATCTTCTCATTTTGTCACGCCCCATGGATTTGTGCCCAGACCGACATGGTCAGGCCGGTTCCATCATCTTTCAAGATCCTTCTTTTTAATCTATGTCGTGAAAACAGTGTTCAAAATATAGTGGTTAAGTGGCGACAAAGCCTAGTATCAGGTTTCAATCTTTTCAGCTCAAATTACAGTAACTATATAATGACACAGAAAGATCTGTCAAAATTTTATGCCTACATCAGTTTGATGATGCTTTCAGCAACATCCAGAATGCCGGCGACGCATGCCACCGGCCGAATCGGAGTCAGGGTCTTCAAACCATTTTCTCCAGCGGCATCCAACCTGCCAAATTGAAGTAGGCATGTTGATAAATATATATTATAATCTTGAAGCCCCACGTTGGTTTACAAGCTAACCCTAAATTTGAATAGAATCCATATGCCAGGGTTTGTTTTGAATCCAGTGCCACATGAGCAACACAACAAATAAACAATGGGAAGATTCACCGAAGACACATAACAAACTACATAGAATACGGTGAGGTATCGAATATAATAATATAATATATAATGGGTTAGGGTTTGTACGGCATTATTGTTTTATCTTTTTTTTGTCTTTTTTCTTCTTGTTCTTGATGATTTTGATGTCCATGGTAATGTGGCTGTTACTGTTGCTGTTGTTGATGCCTTCATTGTCGTTGTCGTTGTTGTTGCTGTAGTTGTAGTAGTAGCAGTAGTAGTAGCAGTAGTAGTAGTAGTAACGTTGTTGTTGTTGTTGTTGCTGGTGTTGTTGTTCTTGTTGTCGTTGTTGCACTTGTTCTTGTTTGTGTGATTGATTGTTATTGTTGCTGCTATCAGTGTGGTCTGAGTTGTTGTCACTCTTTCTGAATTTGTTATTGTCATTGTCAGTCGTCGTTGTTGTCGTTGTTGTCGTTGTTGTTGTTGTTGTTGTTTCCATTCTTGTCGTTGTTATTGATGCTCTCATTGTTCTTGGTGTTAATGGCGTTGATGTTGCGAACATTGTGGTTGCCATTGTGGTCAATATTGTTGATGTTGGTGTTGATGTTGTGGTGGTTGTTGTTGTTGTTGCTGCTGCTGTCGTTGTTTTGTTGTTGTTGTTGCTGCTGCTGCTGTTCTTGGTGTTGCTGCTGTAACTGTTGTCGTTGGTGTTGTTGATAATGTTGCTGATTGTGGTGGTGTCAGACTTGTTCTTCTTGTTGTTGTTGTTGTTGCTGATGTATTGCCATTGTTATGTCATGTCTTCCCTGGGTGAAATCCCCTTAGTGGTTCCTCCCCTGTTTTTATATGACCATAGTCAATAGTCTGAAACCCATTGGCTGACAGGCGGCATCGACGATTGCAACTATCTATGGAGAAAGGCGGGGCCATGGGGACATAAAACCCTGCCTACAACGGAATCCAATGGTGAAATGTGTGTTGGTCTTGAACTTGGAAATCGAAAGCCCATTGCCAAAGGTGTTCATGTTCACAGCCGGCTTTGACTGCTTGTTCTTCTTCTTCTTCTTTTTCTTTTGGGTTTCATCATCTTCAGTATCCTTTGGGGGCTCAACCACAAACACAAGTGGCTTGTCCACAGAAATTTCATCATGAGCTGCATTCATGGAGTGGTGCGAAATGGCAAGCTTCACCTCGCAGGGAGTATGGATGGAATAGGCATCCATGTTATGGGGATCATGATGGCTCTACCAACCAATTTGTATATGTCAACAAAAATTGGCTGTTCCATTCAATTCATCAACACTTGACCTCCCCCGCATCTTCAAGCTCCCGAATGACAGTTGCGAGTTCCACCGGGTTGTCAACAAAGGGGAGGCTTTGAAGGTGACTAGGCAACGTCTTACGTTCCATGATCACCACCGTTTTCATGCTGACATTGAAAGAGAACCAGCGCCCTTCAGCATCACTTGTGATTTCATTTGCTTCCTTAGAATGATGCACAATGCAGGAAGGGACATGATGGCAGGGAGACCAGCCCGGGACTCAATGCTTTCAAGAGTCAGCACCATTCCTCCACTCGCCGCTTCCAAAGCTAAACCTCATGAGTGGTTGACATGGTGTTGAGATCTCATGTCTAATCATGAGATGGGTTGACATGAAAAATGGTTTGAATATGGTTTGACATAAGAATGGAACAAAATGGATGAACCTCATGACTACGTGTAAAAATCTAATGGGTGCCTTCCAGTCAAATAAGTAGCCAAGAAACATCTCGCGGTTGGTGAGAAACTGGTTGCGAGACCGAGCGACCAAGTACAAGCTCTCCCCAGATTCATCTGTGATCAGTTCCGCAGCACCATTGATGTTGAACTTCCTCCTCAGCTTTTAGAACTTGACGTTTTGGTTGAAATCTCATTTGGCCAAGATATACATTGCAAGAAAGTAGAACTTGGAAAACAAACCATATTCTGGGAGTACATCACAATTAGAAAGATGGGTGGTAGCTATCGAGCCACGGTTTCTGCAAGCTGGAGATGTCTGCCTCTGTGCACGTCTTGAGGTCTGACAGCTTGATCCGCTTGACTGCACGATCAGCATCTGGATTTGCTGCAGGCCTGCAGTAGTCATGTGAGGAGAGTTGGTACCATCGTTGGCTAGAGATCAATATTTAATATTCCCAGCTCATACCTTAGATAATTAGATCACCTTAGATAATTAGATCATAATTATATAGATTGTATTTAACATTATCATTATTGAGAGAGATTCCACCACCCTGTCCTCTCATCATTTTCCATGAAGTCACCATCTGGATTGAAATGCTTGTTGTGCTCTTGGATGAGCTTCACCGCTTCCTCCTTGGAAGCCTCATACTCAGTCCATCGTCTCGCCAAACTTTGAAGTACCAGCAACTTGCTCTGTTTGGCAACGCACACCTTGTAGTTGACATTTGAATCCACCACTGAAGACTCACGTAGAGCACCGATCACGGGATCAAAGTTTGGGAAATTGGGGCACACACCACTCCCCGATCTGCACGAGTCATACAGTGCATTGGCAACTCTGTGCTGCAAAGTGCCAGGATCACCATTGAGCATCACCGAGCCGCACATCACACGATTGCCACTCGACACCTCCTGAGGGATTAGGGGAGGGGTAAAAAAACACAGGAGGCAAGTATCCTGGTCATAATTACATTTCGTGTTGCATGATTATAATGATTCATAATGGTTCATAATGTTTTCGGGAATTAGATATGGCATTATATCAAAATTGCGCTGGTGATTTGAACATATTTTGGAACAAAATGCACCACCTCCCCCTACGAAATATTATGTTATTTATGGTTATGATGATTATGTTTAATTGTTTGCAAATGGCCAGTGAGTCCTCCAAAGCGGCCAATGCAGGAAATGCATCATAGCTCACCAAATCGACAAGCATGATCGTAGCCATGCTCTGCGGCACAAAGGCTCGGAGGCTTGCTTTCACGATGTCCGTCCCTGCAGCAACCTTAGCTTCAGTGGATAGGATAGGCTCAAACGCTGGGCATGTTTGGCTGACATCCCTCAAAGAAAATCAAAGAAACATAAATGCTGTTTGAAGTTCGATGAGAAACTTGTTTGAGCTCCTGGGTGTCTGTAAAAGCTCTCCCGAGATGCGGCACATTTTGGGCCGCCTCAGCAAAACGATCGATTCTGATTTAGCATGGATATACCTTGCAAAGTGGAAGATATATTTAAAATGTATATTATCTTGCAGCATATTACAAAATACATCAAAGATGAATGGGTAATTAGCCAAATCACGGGTGGCTTCCACATCATGGACCGGGGAAGCATCTGCACATCGTGTATGACGCCGCTCTTGAACCCAGGTGAGCTTCGGAAAAGATTGTTCCGCTCACGAGGCACCACCGCCAGTCCAGTGATGGCGCCATCTCTGCGCCCATACACGCTATCCTGTGGTAAGTGCATGTGGGATGATAGACGATCAACATCAAATGAAAAACTGAAGATATTTCTAACTATTAGATTATGTTTTGTTTTCTATTATCATATAATGTTTGTTGAAATTGAAGGGGCAATGAAAAATGAATATATCAAGTCATGTAGCCAGGCAACCTTGTTGAACACCCACATGATGTTTCGCACAGTGAGGTTGCGATCCTTCAAGCATAAGTCTTTCCTGCACAGCATGGCTATTTTTTTAAAAAACATGTTGGCACATTTTGAGATATTTCCCCCAAGGATACAATATCATAATTGAAATCAACCAGTCAGACCAAAAAATACCCAATGGAATGGAATTCCTATGGAAAATAGTTCATTCGAAAATCCAGCCAAGTGTCTCAAGCTTGTAGCACATGTCCCGAATGTCATTGTCCTCCGCATTGGGGCCAGCCTGATCAGGCTCACCATCCGAGTCAGAGTCGTCTGGCTCATCCTTTTTGACCTCGGCCATCAGTTCATCAGGCTCCTCCTTGGTGTCCTCGGGATCCTCTTTGCACCTGAGCTTCCTCCAGGGATTCGACCATTTTTTGTGAAAAATTGTGGATCTTGAAAATGAGAAGATAATGTAAACCTGAACCTTAAATTAAAGCAACAATTGGTTAGAATTACTATCCAATAGTTCACTTTCATGTTCTTGATTTGATCATTCAATATCATCCAATTCAATATTTTTGGACATATTTGGACAACATCCCCATGGGCTCCATATTCAACCAATTGATCAACCAATGTCCTCTCAGAAACCTGTCCACGATTAGGATGAACCAAAATGGCAATCCCATTCCGTTTGAACTTGGCAAGAAGGTTGGAGATGGATGTGATGCACCACTCGTAGCGATGGACTGAAATCACTCCACATGTGGGCAAATTTGCCCAGATCACCAGTCCGTGATCTTCTGGTGCACGACATTCGGGGACTTCTTGGAATGCTTCATCTATCCATGTGCTGAGAACCGGTAGCACAGTGCTTTCAGCTTCCTTTGCCAACCCCCCAAAGATCCGCAAATTTGCAGTGAGGTAGGTTCCAACCAAATCCCATGCCCGTGAATGAAGTTCCTGCATGGGTGGTTGAGATAAAACCATTCTCAACTTGTCGATAGATTCTACAATTCTTTACTTAACCTCATCTCATATATGAATTTTGTTCCACAATCCCCTCCTCCAGCTGTTGAATCAACTTGACACGCCGCTTTGCAGATTCCTTCTCGCTCCTGAGATTGAAGAGGCACTTGTGTGGGATGGATGTTACCTGTCATGGCCCACAACAACAGGCACTAAGGATCAGTTAGATTTTTTGTGAGGCTTTGGGATATGGCAATATCGATATGTCTGAAAATGATGTGTGTGTGTGTTTTAACATGGCTACTTTGAGGGGGAAAACAGACACCAAATTAACCAAACCAAATTCAAGGGACATGATCCTCTGACTCTCGAACGAGACTTGATCACTTTGGAGTTGTTCAACCCAAGATTGGAACCCCGCATTCATTGCCTTCGCATGCGCGTTGCGCTGTCGATCTTGGGATTGGCAAATAAAGTCTTCCAGACTGGATCCTCTCACCTATCAGGGCAGCCAAGTATCTCATCTAGTTAGCTAGGTTGACATGTTCAACTCAATTTAACATCATTGGAAAGAAGGGACTTAACGGGACTAGCAAATCAAAATTGTGATGAAGCAGTACACTTTATTTTCACAAAGTCTTTCAACAAAGTATTGAACATCAAGTCCGATGTGTTGGGTGCTGAACAATATTGAACAAACATAAAATACAAAGTTCCAAATTATAATATGGTAACCATGTTTAAGTGAATGATCGGTTTCATATTTTATTTTCATATCACCCATTTGCCTCCAATATGAAGGGAATACGCCCCCAGTCAAATTCGTCCCCCGATTTGACCAGCGACCCCAGGTCGATGTCGAGACTCCTTCACTAGGACTTGGGGTGGGGTTTTAGGAAATTTGTTTCAAAACAAATCAACATTCTAACCTGACCCCAAGATTCAAAATGTGACGGGATTCCTGGAAAACCCATCACAATTCTATAGTCAAATCTTTAACCAATCATCTGAAACAAAAGGAATCAAACTTGGGAACATGATTGGATCTCACCTGGCAATCCTTTTTGTGACGGGTTTTCTGGGAAACCAGTCACATTTCAATGTCCCTGCCATCCTACAAGTTGTGATTCAATTTGTGTGGGTTTGGCGCTAGCCAACCCCAAATTCCAAATTGTGACGTGAGTTGTGGGAAACCAATCACAAACATCAATCAATACTTGGCTGGCGCCAGCCAACCCCCAACACAAAAGTGTGACGGGTTTTGTCGTTGTAGGACTAATATCAATAAATACCTGGTTGGCGCCAGCCAACCCCCAATGCAAAAGTGTGACGGGATTTGTGGGGTTAGTATCGAATAGTGAATACTATATTCTATAGTACAGATTTCAAATTCAAAATAACCGGACATGATCCTTTGAAATAATATCACAACATTTTGATTCCATGTCCAGCCCAAGATTCCCCTTCATGAAAAGGGCGTCATGCTGGTCCACCACGTTGCCAGGGAACTCGTTGACCGTGTGACGTCGCAGCCAAATCCAAACACAGCAGATGTCGAAGAGCAACACACTTTGGTCTTCATCACATTGGGCAGATTTCTTCAGGGCAGTGTGGAATGATCTGGAAAAAATACGAGGCTAGCTACAGGATACACCATAGTGTATTAACAATGTGTTGGTGAGGATACCAATGGTAGTGAACATAAACACATGACCATGTCCCACCCAAATCCTTGGCTTTGTTGGTCGATTCCCTCTGAACTTTCCGCTCGAAATCCTGCCACAGTGCCAGACTATGTATATAAGATAAGATTGGATGTTGTAATACACCATCCTTAACCTCAACACAGAAAGAAAACTTGTTTGTATTTGACATTATAGTAGTACATAGTAGTCACATGTAGCTTGATGAAAAACCATTGGCTCCTTTGTCAGTCGTGTGAGCCACAGCACTGACACCTCCCCTGAAGTTTGCAGGATTTGTTGCCACAAAGGCTTCCCAACGAACTTGCTACATTCTTGTCGGGACGTCATGCCCGGGACCCAAAAGTCGGGCATGAGCAAGTCCAATGGGACTCCTGCAATGGGTTGGCGCATGTGGTTCCCATTTGATTTCGTTGAAGTGAAACTAATATAGGGAAACACAACTGATTTACGGATTATGTCATGAAATTCACAGAGTATCACAATGAAAGATGATGAATCATCAAGTACCTGTCCTGAAACCTCGTGCTTGAATTGATCATAATGACCATGTAGGATCGAACCAATTTGCGGAGGCGCCCTCAGCCTTTGCAAGTTTTCAGGACCCCATTGGTTTCCATGACTTCGAAAACACAGGTCTTCCCCACATTTTTTTGGAATAAAAATGTGTATTGGACGAGGGCAAGGGACAGATTGTACAGCAATGTTTTGCGCTTCGTGTCGATCCGGTGCTGTTTGACAGTACAGAGCTTGTTAAATTCCCCAACGGTCTTCGCTAAGAGGTCCTTTAAAGCCTTTGAGCTCCCCCTTTGGTTCTGAGCCTGTCTCTTCTCGACGGCAATCGCCTGGTTGATCGCGCCAAGCAGGTCCAGAGCCGACGGTGCCTGCTTTTCGCTCGACACATAGCCCACACCTCAGGGCAGCAGTTAGTGGTTCACTGAGATTGTGAACTTGTGAACCCGAAGTAAGAATGGGAATGACAATGGCTGTGATGATGATGATGATGATGATGATGATGATGATGATGCTGATGGCTGATGATGATGATGGTGATGATTAATGATGAAGAGGAGGAATATGGTGATGATGACAACGAGGTTGATGATGATGATGGTGATGATTAATGATGAAGAATAACAATTTGGTGATGATGACATTGACGACGATGGTGAGGTTGATGATGATGATGATGATGATGATGAGGTTGTGTCAATCAATGATGATGATGAGGTTGGTGTCAATCAAAACGATGGTGCCCAAACTGTGGAAAGGCACGCAAGCTGTGGAGATAATGATGTGATGGGTTCGAGAAGTAGGTGAAGCTGCAACGGATCCACCGGAAGGAGCGCAGCATGTGATCGACATCAGGGTGCGACAACCGATCGTCATCCCATTCCTTACTTAAAACATTGGGTTTCTTTGGTGAGAACCTGAAAACCATGATAAAATCTCAAATAAACTATCAAACATAACTTGGACCAAACATTTATTTGTAAGTTGCACTTAGCTGCTAACTCGTAGATGAACACCAGGATCGCCGTCATCAACAAAACTTTCGTGAAACCGTCGTTGAAACACACGCTGAAGGGTTTCACAACCCTGGTTGCATCAGAGAAGGGAAAGCGAGTCTCCACTGACTCAAGGGACGGCTTGTACCCCCGCAAAAACTCGCCAAAGTGAGCTCGGCACTGTTCGTTTTGTGGCCAATCTGCAGGGGTATATGATCAATGTTTTAAAACATAATCTTGTCTCAAGACATTATGGTGATACAATACAAACGATAGTCATCCAATGAGCCCCTGACAGCCATTCTTGGCACTTTCCCCCAGGTGGAAAGCATGCAGTGGTAGCCAGAACTCCTGCAAGCTAGCTTGTGGGACCAGAGACAAAGTAGGCTTGGGGTCCACATCGGCACTTCGCTCGGTTACCAGTCGGGTAATCACCTGACCAGCGTGTAGCAGGATTGGGGTAAAAGGACCAGGTTGGGAGTATGGAACAACCCCATAAATCCTCAACACATGTCAACACAGCTACCTGAGGTGTAATGACAAGTAAGGCCTTCATCCTCATATCCAAATCGCCAAGAACATCCTCGACATACTGCCCCAGGTTCTTTTGGGATATCACCTTGACAGAAACTGGAAGAGTGATTAAGAACGGGGAGGTAACCGGAAAAGTATATTCAAAACTGCAAGGTGATTAAACACACCACTCAGGACAGAACAGTATCAAAGTAGGCCCGAAGCTGTTCCATGGGGTCGCTACCAACATCTTGTTTCACAGAACCCGCCGAATCAGCCATGACCCCAGACTCAACAAGATTCAGAGCCAAATTTGACCCTGCGAACAACAAGTAAACACTTGTCTACAAATTGCAATATATGCCACTCAACATGTTGCATTGCTTGACAAAGACTTGACAGCAACAACTCTTTTCACATCACCCCAGTAGCACCAGCAGGTTCACCCGCCTCCCAAGCACACTAAGGGCCGTAGCACTTGAAGTGTGCAAACCCATTTCCCTATGCCCGACCCCGGCTGTGGTGAAACACAACCTGCAACCAGTGGTTGTCTGGTTCGGGGGCACGCTGTGGCAACTGAACATTTGCCAAACCATGACGTGGCGGTGGTCCCACATCCAAGAATCCAATCCGTGACATTGGCTTTCGAGCCCTGTCCATGTCAACAATACTACGATAGTATCGTACAGTACGGTCAAGGTGAGGAAAATCCTTTTCTATTCCATTCGCTAAAGCTTCAAGCCCCGAAATCCTTTCAGGATCCAAGACCTGTTGAATCACATCATCAGTCTCATTAACATCGTTGAAATATTGTTCGGTTGTTGTCATGAAGCATTGAGGATATACAAGGAGTGGTGGCTGTGTCAGCGACCGGTCCGACATGTAGGATTTTATCATAGCAAACACATCCCTGAGGGACCCCTCACTCCTCAATCGACGAGGTAGGTTCTCGTCAAGTTGTAAGCCATGCCCTTGTCCAGGCATATCTGTCAAGGGGACCACCGAAGGCAAAGATAATCATAAAGACCCATTTATCCCCGATCCCACAGATATCATCATTACCAAAACCAAGAAGATAACATCAATAAAAATGCTTCAAAGGATTTGTCCATATCCCATAAAAACCCCGGCCTTCTCTGCACATGAATGAGAAGCTTTGGGGGACTTTCATGTTCTGGTCTTCATCAGAGGGTCGGCCACGATAGGCGTTTTTCAATGTTGCTGTCAGTGGCATCATCTTGCACCAGTTTCGAACCTGAATTCAATGAGTAACAGTAACAGTAACAAATCAAATGATTGTGATTAATTAAGAATACTTGATGGAATTGCCACCTACATAGCGAACTGTTTCTTGCAATGGTCAAATTCCACATCCCACTAAAGTATCAACCGGGCAGCAGTGTCCACATGTTCGATGATGAACTCGAGGTTGCTCTTGCGGAACAGCGGGGACAGTTTCTTCTGAAGGCACCTGTGGGAAGAGTTGCACAATAGTGGCTTGAGCATGCTTCCTCAAATCTGAATACATTTGACCAGTGTTCACTTACCTTAACTTAACTCTCATGTAACGTGGCCCATGAATCGCCCATGCATGTTTTTCACCAAGGGTCCGCATGATGTCCTGTGGAGTTTGTAGATCCCTTTCAGCCCGTAAAGCAGCTGTCACGATGGAAAATATACCATCTAGGCAGGGGCATCGAATGGGAAATCAGAATTCAAAAAATACACACACATACATCATTATCATTGGATCATCAACACTCAAAAACATACTACATATTTCTAGCAGGGTTAAAAACATACTACATATTTCTAGATTTTAGATCATGCACCAGACCTGCCTATGTCTTCGTGAGTGTGGCCCACCATCATATGATGGTGGGCCACACTCTTGAAGAATCCACTTTGTGCGAGAAGACAGCACCACTTTCCAACCCAAGAATTACGCAGTTCTTTGGGCGTGTTATCGCCCTGGATCCACAACCTCAATGTGTTTAATGATGGCAAGCTTGCAATGATCAGATTTGTTTCATGGTAGGATCACTGACCCAAGGCACCACAGACCCAATTTTCCAAGCAACTCTCGTGGCAGCTCTTGATTCAGTGATCGCAGCTTCCTCCAGGCGTGGTCAATCGACTTCATCACCTTAGCAAGTGAGGGAACTCAGCACTGGAAGGGAAGCTCCATGATTTTTAAAAAACTTGCATTTTAAGCCCATGAAGTTAACAAACCTGAATTTTCAATAATTTCACTGAGATACACATTCGATTGTCCAGTTCGATCCACCAGCCATTCCTTCATCAGAAAGAAAAAAGTACACACCAACGCCGTGGACTATGCATCCAGTCAAGGTGAGATACGTACCTTGGTTTCATGAAAACCAAACATGACAAACTTAGAACAATGTAGTATCATTTGAAAATTGGGGACATAAGAAATACATAGAAATACCATAAACCCACAAACTTCAATATGGCACAATGCAATTGGATGACGGCGGGCGTTTTCAAATAAACTCCGCTTGGGGGTTCTCATCATCGGCCATTTGGGCAACGACATCTTCGCATGATCGTATGAATCAACGATGATTGTCAGCATGTCTTTCTGAGTCTTTGCCCTTTCACGGGCAAGATAGTAAATTTGTCTGTCATTGAAGGTCCGATTGAAATGAAGAAGGAGCTCATCGGATATTCGTGCCTCTTCTTGGAAATCCTGGGCTGTTGGAGAGGCTACGATTTACAGTAAATTTAAGGAATAGTCAGTAGTTACAGGCATCCAATTTAGTAAAAGGTACATCCCGTGAAATCGAGTACTAACATGTATGTAACTACATTGCAGTCAGGATTCTCTTGCTCCATGCAAAAGGCTTCGAAGACGTGCACAAGTCGCACATTGTGCATGCTGGGTCTTCTTGTGAAATCTCAAACATATCTTCCATTCCCCAACCACTTGAAAAAATGTTGCTCTGCATGCTGGTGCTTCATTTTTCACACGAGAGTAGCTCTGATACAACAAGTACAGCTCTGACCATGAACCATGTGGTAACTCTCTCAATGGAAGGCGTGACGGGTCACTGTTAAAAGCGACCTGGAGATAGGGGCTCATCAAATGTACATCGACTAGCTGCTGAAGCAGTTCTTCTCGTAATTCGTTGTCAGCTTGTTTCAAACATGACTTTGAAGCCACCCTTAGCTATATCATGAGATATCATTCAGTATGTTTGTCATGTCACACAGATGTTGGGCTTACTGTCATCAAAGCTTGTGCCTTTGGTTAAGATTTTGCACTGCTTTGCACACTATGTTGGTTCTTGCAACTCTTGCTGACAAGTTACTCCTTGGTCATTGGCTCCCCAGCAGACCAGTACATGTGCAAGAGAAAGCAGTGGACCGAGGCAGACTTGTCCGATGGCCTGCTGCAAAGTCCTGAGAGTCTGAGAGTGCCCGGAATGCTTTGTCCACTGGCTGGGTATGTTAATTAAACTTGTTGTTTAGCTCAAATCATATTAGTTTCGTGTAGATCTGAAAGTGATTGGGCAAGATTCGACCAGTGGTAGATCGTCCGTCTTTTCCATAGATAACCCCGCTACAACGAGCAAGTCGTTTTTGTCCAAGAGCCAAGAATTGCATCCATGCCACTTTGCACACCGGGTGTCCTGAATATTTACAGAGTTACAGAAAAGTAGTCTTTGGGCCCTTGAAACCACAGCACCATCATACAGTAAACATACACTATGGAAACCACAATGCCAATGCAGTCCTTCTATGAACCAATCCCGTTTCGAGCCACTTCCAGGGTTGGATTGCTGTATGTTCCAAAGCACTATATCTGGAGCACTCTTGGTGAGCAGCCAGAAGGCCATGCAAACTCGCAAGAGCACTTGGAGTGGCATTTTGCATCGACAATTGCACAGTGGTTTTTCCAAAGCCTCTTTCACCCGAGTTTTTGAACGACCATTGGCTGCATACTTCGATTTCACTTTTTTTTGTTGGAAGCAACCGCATGAAAGGATTGCAGGTACTGGAGATTCATATCTACTCGACCTCTAGTGTATCCAGCAGCATCACTGTCACTACCCTCTGAATAATCTGAAGATTCAGAACCAAGTTCAGAAGATTGCATCGATGCATCAGTGCTACCACTCCTGAGTTTCACGATTTACAGAGATTGTTTCATATGCATGCTGCATAGGAATGGTCACTATTTGCTGCACTTACTCAAGTTTCACAAGCGTGAAGGCGGTAGGTGAATATTCACCAACCTTTTCAGCCCAGTTGCGTGGAATCTGAATCCGAAGATGTAGCATCATATCTCCCAAGGGCAGATTCCATCACGGCATCGGTGTCGGCGTCATAGCGGGACAGCACAGGCATCAGGCTAAAGGCTCAAGGTTTTTCAAGGAAATATTTGGATTTCATATTTTGATTTCATTGGGCCTATGCTCAAGAGAAGTGAATTCCTTTATCAACTATCATAAAATTTCTGTTGTTACTTAATGTTCTTACCTCACTGAAGACATACATTCGTAATTTATGCTAAAGCTTGTGAAGCATAGCAGCATGCCAGTGGCAGACTCATGGTGTCAAAATGGAATTCCAATCACAAGACCGGCACATAAACATATCTGGAAACAACTACTTTTTGTCAGGGTTGGGCCGACTGGGACATGCTCTCTGGTTTTGTGGCACTCATGACCACAGCTAAAAGGGCGGTGATGACTCGAACCGCCATTGCGTTGCCTGCCAAGTCATGCAATACCTTGGATTGCGGCAAAACGCTGCAGTGGTGGATCAATATCTTGGGTTGAAATTGCAACAGAAAAAACTAACTACCAGCCACGTTACACTTTCCGATGTTCCACCCAACACCATTCTGTGAAGAGGGAATCCCATGAGAACCATCAGTTCACGACCCAATAGGAATCGCTGGACATTCAATGCCAGCCATTTTCCCTTTGGCCTCATATCGACGTATTTGGCCAACATGTTTCCATTTACTTGTCCAAAAAAGTCACTCAATTTGAATTGAGATAGACACAATTTCAATCCAGTTGAGGGCAGTGCGTCAAACATGGCATCGCAACCGCAGAATCAGAAATAAACGGCATTTGTTGCAGGCTTTGACTTGTGTTGGCCAAGACCACATTTGGATGGGCAGCTGTGAGAATCGATATTGCCTATGACCGGAAGCCACGTGGGTGGAAGAATATATGGGGTAAACATGCAGGAACCAGGAATACAAACAATGGGCGATGATTTCCCAAAACTAAAATGGCCTCCATCTCACGACGAGTGGTGATGTACTTTGCAGCTTCTGGGAATTTGGTCATGAAGGTGGAGCGGGCCACGGGAACATTCACCTGGCAAGACCATACATGAACATCACTAGAGTTCGAATGGTAGAGGGACCCAAATTTGATAACTCAATGATTCTAATAATATGCCATTTTAAAACATATTATTGTTTGGGTATGGAGATCCCACCACTTCCAATACCAGAAAGTGCCTCACATTCAGATGCATAGATACGATGGTGCCGAATCCATTTTGCATTCCGGTTCAACTTCCTTGGAAACATTGGCTGGATGTGGTAATGGGGTGATTAGGGCTTGACAATGAGATTTGATAGGGTTTGCAATATGTGTTTTTAAACCCAGTAACTTCATGGAGTTGATAACCCGCTGCTGGTTCCTCCTCCTGCATTCCTTCTGCACAGACCAGTAGCTAGGAGGGAATAGCAAGTCCTGCCTCAGTGGAAGAAGAAGGGTCCAAGTGATAAGTGAAACCTTTACTTGTGAGGGGGGTTCCTGAAAGTAAAATAGGCAAAATGAACTTTATGCTTGATATTGCTAAGTGGCCATTTTGTTGTGAGTGGTTGCTTCAGTTCCATGATTTTGCGAAGGATGTATTCATCCAAGGTCATTCCCAAGTCTCTGAGACAATCTTGGCGGATCATCACAATAAAAATCCTTCTTCTTGACAATGGAGCCCCAAAATATGTCCTCAGTCTTGAACCCTGGTAAAGTATAGCCATAAATTCCACACACTGGAAACATCGTTTAAAGAACATCCTAGGAAGTGAATGTAGATGAGCACTGCTGCCTGGGCACGGTGTCAAAACATGAGCAGCAATCACATACCTCACAAATACCCCAGGACCCCTTCGGCCTCACAGCTAAACTGGACCAATCTTGGGCATTTAAACAACCAAGTTGCCCGGGCACATTCATCCTAATCAACGCAATGACTTTGTCCAAGATAGGCTTGAAACCCATGACGTTCTCCAAGGTCACTATCTCAGTTGTTGGTTTTCATCATACTTTGGAAATGGCACATGTATTAGTTTTGGAAATTTCCTAAAAACACCAAGTAACTTTTGGCCGATACCGTCGAATGCGTTTAATGACCTTGAACAGCTGTCTGGCATTTCCATCTGCCAACATCCTCCTTGTCGAACTCAACAACGAATATGGCTGGCAAGGAAACCCAGCGCAATATAAACTAACCTCAGGTAGACCCCCAGATACCCAAAGAATCGTCAAAACCTTTGAGAATCAAGGGAACCCCTGCGCAACACACACCCACCATGTCCCACCAAGTAACATCGTGAATTGGAACTCGTTCCGATTCCTTCGTGAAGATGTCGGCGCAAATCCTAGGCCACACACAAGCTCATGTAGGAAACAACAGGTAAAACGGCCAAACATAAAAAAACAGTTCATACAAGTATCTCCCCTGCTTGGCCAGCATTGAGTCGCAAGAATTGTCTCTTTTGAGGATGGACTTCTGATGCCGACCTGGGCAACCCCAATAAACAAAATGAGTACAATTCGAGAATGAAAACAAACGAAGTGAGAGAAAAACAAAATTAGGCCCCGACTGAAACTTCAAAGTATCGTATTTCCCAGCGGCGTGAAACAACATATCGAGACCATGATATGGGGCATCCGCCCCACTGCCTCAAAAAACAATAGCCAGGAGAATTCAAAAGAAACTTCTCCAATCAGCCAACATCAACGTATTGGAAATGAAATGAAATATACCCCATGAACATCCATGAACAAGTTGCAATCACTTGCATAGGTGAAATTTCCAGTGAGGGCGTTCATCCAAAATTGCAATCCTTGGTGGGCTTAATGAAATTAGCTCAGCAATGAGGCATCAAGGATACTTCAAATGCTGCAAGCAGCCAAATTTATGCAGAACAGGATCCAGATAAATTCATAAAGCTCGGCCCAATTTCAGTAAAATCGATCAGCGCCTGGGGATATGGCTCCTTCAACATTGATTCAAGAAGAAACAAAATTAGAAACATCTGAAGCAATGAACATCCACAACCCTACCACCAATCCCCATTCTTCTCCCACCCTGGCCATCAATCTCCTCATATGAACTTGAAGCAGAACTGCTCGTGCTCGTGCCAGCAGGGTCATCACTAGAACTGCTTGCCATAGCACAACGAGTCAACCCCCATCTCCCCCTTGATCTCAAAGGGCTAGTTAGATAATAGAAAAGGATCAGTTACAAATAGACAAGACTATATATAATAAGATTATATAAGTATGTTGGGATACGGCCATCGCAACCACCAGAAACCAAAGACCTGAAGAAATGCAAGAAAAGCGGTTCGAAAGCCATGCCCAAAACATCCCAGCCAACCCGCTCTGCTGCTCTCCGTGTTCATCAAGGTTGGTCAAGAGAACTTCCAGTAAGGAGTAGGATCATCGATTGGTTTATGATCCGAAGCCCAGGTGCTTGGCGACATACTTCCCAGTGTCAAAGCTCGCCACTGCTGCCTCCTGGCCAGGCTGGGCAGCAAATCTCTCATCAATTTCTATGGGACATAATGGGACACTTAACATCATCCAAGGTGGGCTGGACAACGGATGCGGAAATCCTGTTGGAAGGATTTCAAGCCACCAGCTCCACATAGCAAAAACTCACTTCCAACTCGGGAGGCACCAGTGATTTTCATGATTTGCCATGTACTTGTTGGCCCCATCTCAACTGCTCCGGCCAGCGGTCCCGACAGCCTGCAGTTTAAATGGGACCTGCTCGAGAAAATTGAAGACGTCCCTAGCGCTTGAAGCACTTCTTGGTGCTTGCCGCCTGCAAGGCCAGGAAGACACCCAGCAGATGTGAAAATCCCAGGGATTGCCTAGAGGGTTTTTCTAAGTTGACGCTCGACGAACCGTGGGCTCGACGAAAGCTCCCTTTCCAAGCCTCTTCTGGGCGGCAGGCCTAGGCCTTGCAGCTCAAGTGGGGATTGACATATACAGGAACACCCAAAAAAGTAGAGACGATAACTTACCGCTTTCTTATTATGTTGTTTTAACTTCTTTACGGTCTGTCTATGTTCTCTGAAGGTGCTACAGACTCAATGTATTTAAGCCCAAGATTAAATCTAAAACATTATGTTTCTGGTTTTAAAAGAACACCACAACCACTGCCAGAGTGGTTTGATCAGTTTGATCCATGGCCAAAATATTGAGACAAATTCTCCTTGCAACACTCACGGACTTCAGCTAATTATTGGTGTTGCCTTTCTCTCTTGTGCAATTCCATACTTACACACGAGCAAAATCGACGGTCTTTTCTCGGTATCTCGTGTTGTTGTTTTACATGCTGCTAAACTGCACTATGCAGTACCTTTTCATCTAATTTTTCCCTACACATCCCCACACATTATATATATATACTGAAATGGGTTTTGTCCGAAAAGAGGGCACCCTAATTCCATCTCATGGTTAAAATTAAAAGAGAAAGCGTAAGATCTTTTTTCCCCATTAAAATGAAACAGAATTTCCATGAATTTCCACAATGTGGTGATTTCATGGTCACTCCCTCCCGCGATTTGTTCGGCTCGGCCTTGCCGTCGGACGGGCGGTGGTCAGAGCCGATTGGGACTGCAGGAGCCTGGGGAGTTGATGGTGTGATGGTGATCAATGGTGATGAATTTATGATTATTATTGGTGGGAATTAATGGGGATTAAACGGGATTAATGATGACTAATGGCGGTAATGGTGATTCATGGGGAGTAATGGTGATATGGAAATTGACATTGTATGGTGGCTGTGGTGAAAGATATGCGTCATGGTCGAAAGACATGGGGTATGGTCATCCATCCAAGAGCACGACTGTTTGTCACAGGTATGCCAACCATTCTGAAAATGGATGACCATCCCCGAATGATGTGTTTATATAATCCCACTTTTGACTATGACACATATGGGATGAACATGTTTTTGCGATTATGTTGATTTAATGCGACGTAACGGGATGTGTGAGTCATATAACCATGCAGTATGATATCATGTGGGTATGTCGAATAGTGGTGGATACCTGAAAGTTGCACTTCTCATAGGGAAAATAAAGACCCGCCAGGAAATGATTGGGCCCAAGTATTGTGAAACAAACCCATATCCAAATTCGGGCTGCAATCCAAAAAAGTTTTTAAGATGATTGTGTTTAGATGTAAGACTTGTGATTCCATTCGAGGAATTGTCCAAAATCGATGGAATAATCGGATCATCCAATTATATCCAATTTATGGCCATCTGTCTTTGGGAAAAACCGGCTCCTAAACCAGGCCATCGGTTGCTGGTACCCTAGTTTTGGACCAACCCAAATGGAACCCTGAAATTGCTTGACCATCGAAATGACAATTTCATTCTTTAAATATGACCTTCGTTTTGTAAAGGTGTTTGCGGAGTCACCATGCGAAATAATGTCAATGTTGTATGTGTGCACCCACGCATGTACGTACGTACGTACGTACGTACGTACGTACTGCATGCATTCATCCAGCATTCATCCATCCATGCATGCATGCATGCATGAATGCATGCATGCATGTATGCATGCATGTATGTATGTATGATGTGTGTGTATGTGTGTGCATGAATGCATGCATTCATCCATGCATGTATGTACGATGCTTTGTGTATGTAGGTACCGTATGAATGTATGCGTGTATGGGATGATGGATGGATGTAGGTATGGATGTGTGTATGAATGTATGCACGTGGGTATGCATATATGTATATGTATTGTGATGATTTGTTATGCATGCAAGAAAGAAACCACGCGTGCAGGTCATCAAACCCAGTCATTGCTGGATCCACGGCACGTTGAAACAGAGGCCAAGCTTCATTTAAAGAGTGGCTACAAATATCTGCAGATCAAAATTCGAGCAGTGATGGGGTGAGAGCAAAAGGGGATTCAAGCACGCAGCATCTACATGGCAGATCCGTCTCAAGAAGCATGTCATGTGTGCACGTGTGTATGTGTCTGTGTGATTCTGTGTGTGTGTGTGTATGTGTCTGTGTGATTCTGTGTGCGTCTGTGTGTTTGTGTCTGTGAAACATCTGAAGAGATGTACCCTCTGGTTATTTAACATAGCCATGGAAAATGGCCCATCTATAGATGGTTTACCTGGGTTTACCTATTAAAAATGGTGGATCTTTCCATGGCAAACTGTTAGTCATAACCAGATGGTAAAACGATGGGGACGTTGCATACAGGGACCACGTCCAACGAAGCTACCTGACTCTATGGGACAGCGCCTGACGTTGCGATGAACGCAGTTCCTCGACGAGAAGCTGAAAATTTAGCATCAAAGGTCTTCCTAGTCTTCCTAGGCACGATGATTTTGTTTTGTTTTGCACAAGGGATTCAACTTCGAACAGATCACTTCTATTCTAGCGTGTGTGCATGTGTATGCGTGTATGTATGTCTGTATGTCGGTCTGTCCGTATGTACTGTACGTAAGTACGTCATTATGCATGCATGCGCCTATAATATCCTATATATGCACAATGTTGTACAATTCTAATGTGTGTGAAGCACAGTGATATACACTGATGATACGAATTTTAGAACATAAGGGGACCCGTCCCGCCTTGGCTGCGTCCCATTGCTACGTCGTTGCCGCAGGGATTCTGCCAGCTCTGCTTTGATCGTCTGATTGGAGAGTCGCATCTGCAGGGCTTTGGACGGCGGCCAATAGTGCCACACGTGCTTGTCATCGTGGCCCAGGAAGCATGAGGCATTTTCCTGGACGAACGAATCATGAAAACTTGATTAAACAAATTGGTGGCTAAAGATGGTTTGAGGATACATATGGATATATGATATATGCAGCCAATACAAGATTGAATGGCAATTAAGAAAGAAACAGTTTCGGAGGACCAGTTCATGAATAGATTAGTTGAATTCAATATGATCGGAGGAACGGAGCTGAGAGGCTGGAAATCACGAATGCCAGTGGCAAGAGTAGCTTTTACCATTCAAAAAGATACAAATATCATATGGGTTTGTTTGATTTTGTTTGAACATATATATATATATACATAACTATATATATACATACATAATTATATATATAGATATGGACTAACTGTAAATTGATCGCAATTTTCATTCATTTCTTTTAGTAAAGTGGTACAAGTACAACATTGGGAACACATCCCTTGAAGCCACACCCTACAGTTGACTCTGTGTCATCTCCAAAGCCCCCAAACTTCGAAGTTTGGAACCCTGGTAACAGCATGTAACAGCCAACTTACCCTCTGGTGAACTAACATAGCAATGGAAAGATCCACCATTTTTCATGGGAAAATCCACTATTTCTATGGCCATTTTCAATAGCAAACTGTTAGTTCACCAGAGGGTAAAACGAACACAAAACCTTGTCATGTTGTGCAGTTGCACCATAGTCTAAGAATATGTTTAACTGATAATTATATATATATAAGATCTAATAAGAACTCCCGCCTTCTGGATGTATTTCACGAGGTTGTCTTGCTTCTGGTCAACTCTGTGGCAATGGCCCCCTAGCACAAAGACTCTCCTCAGAAAAGGCTGGCTACTCCGACTGCACGTCACATGTCAGCACCACGGTCATATGTGGCTCAGGATGGCTAGAGCGTGGGTCAGAACGGTTGCGCCCTGGCAGAAATCTGAAAACAGGGAATGGATATTTATGTCAGGTTCTTTTTCTACCAATGTTTTGATGTATGAAATTTTGACAACATCCCCAAGCACAGAAGTTGCCCCCACCTTTGAGAACCTTCCAATCGGAAGGCCAGTTGCCACCCAGGGACACAGCACCTTTGAAGGGCCAACTCAGAACCTGCTCAGCTGAGGTGCCACCACGAGTTCAACGCGCGACTGATTTGGATCACATCTTTGTCCAAAAAGCCCACATTGCACATGGATTCTTGCTGATTTTATCTGGACACTCTGGTTCCTGAAATCCAGCAGTGTTGATGCTTATATATCTTATATATCTTATATATCTTATATATCTTATATATCTTATATACTAAACACACAGCACTAATTAGACGAGTGGTGTTCCGGTGCTATTCTTCAGCCACATCATTGGGCGGGTCACCGGCCTGAATTCTCTCCAATAATCCCATATCAGCCTAGAAAAAACACCCCAACTATGGATGGTCCCAATAAAATGTGGGTAAATTATAATATTTCACCAACCTGAATTAAGGCCATATTGGGATGATTTCCCTTACTAATCATAATTCCCAGTGAGGTCGCAGTGAGGTCGCTATAATTTACCCAGATAAAATGTGGAAATTCCCGGCTAAACCATGGTTTCGTTTAGGGGATGTTTCACATTAGGGGGAAAGGGATTCATCAATTGAGTCGTAGCAGTTTCAAACCTGGTTGGTGGTTAAAAAACCATCTTGAAAAATATGAAAATCAATGGGAAGGATTATCCCATATATTATGGAAAATAAAAAATGTTTGAAACCACCAATCAGAAACACACAGTGACGCAGTTGTTCTCAAATCTTCACCCTGCCAGCTCCCCAGCAGCTAAGCGGCTGTGTGAGCTTTGGATTCCTCAGCGCGCCGGTGCAGTGGACTGCCTGGACCAGTGCTAAAGGACGATCTGGGGCTTTCCATAGCCATGGTACCAGTACCCCCAGCTGGATGGTTTATTTATGTTTATTTCATGGAAAATCCCATTAAAATTGATGATTTGGGGGTATCCCTATTTCAGGAAACCACCATAATTAAATGGGACATTCATCTAAAATGCTCGAAATATAGCAGTAAACAGAAGGAACAAAATGGAAAAGGATTTGGCCGGAGAATGGGGATGGCTTTGAATTGTTTGCAGAGATGGTCCATACGTATGGCGAATGTGCCGAAACATCTGCCATCAGCCCGCAGGCCTTTTATTGTCTTGTTACTTTGCACCGTCCGAACTTCCCCGCCCCCTCCGACAAACCGAGGATCTTCCAAACGATCACTTTGTGCTTGCCACTGCTCGTGCATGATTAGCACGCAATGCCATGTCGTTGCCACAGCAACCCTGGAGTTCAAGCAGGGGCTGGCGGGGGAAATGGACAGGAAACCATGATTTTTACAACCCCTAAAATTGGGGGGGTCCCCAGGGTTGCGGTAGGTTTTCCCAACTGTTCAACTGATGAGATGAGATTGGCAGTTTGGGACATGACCACCACCCGAAGCCCTTGGGGATGCGAAGCCATGGGGACACCAAGTGCCGGTCCCCACATGGGTGGGTGGCCAGCTTGATCCAGCCATCTGCGCCAAGTGACATTTGCCCAATGAGCATGCCCAAATATGCCTCAGCGCACACCCAACTCACCCAACCGTTGGACCATTTTCAGCTTCCGGGTGCACAAGGCAAAGCAAAAACTTGAACTGTCCCATCAATCCAAGCTGAGTCTTTTTTGATCGAAATCCGCTTGCACCTGTGAAATTCACCGCGGGATCCCCACAGCGATTTCAAGCAAGAAGTCATGGATGTTCAAAATTCCGTTACTGGTATCGTCGCATTTTTGCGCATGTCTTGCTGCTGATTTTGGACAGAACAACGCCAATCCAGTACCCTAATAAGAAATAAAAGCCCCACCTCATTTGTATTGGGCCTATTGATGTTGATCCCTTATTATTAGCATGATGAATGTTCAGAAGTATCATACTTTCTCTCTCACTATTTTTCACTATAGTCTAGTGATATCACTATTATTTCTATGGGTTATATATTATATTTGACTATTAATGTTATTAATGTAGTATACCGATTAGTGTGATGGACCCCTATTGTGGATTTTTCCAAAATTATTGAGTATCTTGTGGATGGTGGGGGTGGGGCTCTATTGTGGAAAGTTTTTTCTCAGATCCATTTTTTTTCAGGAGCTTTACACCTTTCTTTGGGTAAAGCTGGTCCAGTTACTTTAGAAAGCAATATCCATGTTAAAGCCTTGAAAATGCAAGGTTTCCCAAATAATTAGATGCCTTATTTAAAAAAAAAACAGCACCCAAACAATTTTCATAATTTTTCAATAATGTAATTGTTTCGATGGCACCCTATTGTGCACAAAGACTTTTGGGCCTTTTGGGGCCATTTATTTTTGAATTTAAAAGGAAAATCAATTGAAAGTAGATTGATGTCAATTGAAATCCTTAATTACTTAAGTTGACTATCCTAAAAATTGTTGAGGGGGGGCCCAGAAAATGGCGAGTTCTTGAGTAGCCTAAAATTGTTGAGGGGGGGGCCACACTAATTAATAGCCAACATTATCTTATTCTCATGTTCACTACATCGTTGTTTGGAGTGCCCCTTGATTAAGAGTTGGGATGGGATCTGGGTAAATTATAGTATTTCACTAATCTGAATTAAGGCCATTTGGGGATGATTTCCCTTATTAACCATGATTCCAGTGAGGTCGCAGTGAGGTCGTTATAATTTACCCAGATGGGATTCGAAGCAAACGTTCAGAACGGTGGCCTTTCCGCTTTGCCAAGACGCCCATGTCATACATTGTCGGGACACCATGGACCGCACGAATGGCACGGACCCAGCGGTCCCAGCATCTCTGGGCCAAAGCTGGCGAAAAGCCCGGCAATACTGGCAACCAGTGGCAACAATAGCATTTGCATACGTACCATTCCAGCAGGGTCCTGTAAAAGGTCCTGAAATTGACCGCTTCAGTCCCAACCTTGGCGCCATTTGCTCCCAAAGAAATGGCCCCTCCCCACACACACACACACCGATCAGTCTCAGTCTCCAGCAGTCATCCGTATCAAAATTACAATTTTGAGGCGTCTGATCCACGGGACAAGGCACTTCCATCAAGGACTGACCCTCAACTGCGATAACTGATGAATCCTCTGGGTCCATGGATGGGACAAGCAAAACTTGTGGGATGAACGTGGACGCGCTCAAACCATTGACATCCATTGACTAATAAGTCAGCTTCTATTCCCCACAAACTTGACCGCGGCAACACATAGCGGGTGCCGATTCACTGGTGAAAACCTGCCTAGTGAAGATCCCAACAGATTCTGTCCGATCCGTGCTCAAAGATCGAGCATCATCAGCCCCCATTTATCCCCATTTCAACATTCGGTGAAATTCCCAAGTTTGTTGGGCCCCCATGTCCCCATCACCCATTTTGACGTTGCATTAACCGATACGGCTCGACCCGTGAAGTCCATGAGCGACTCAGGAGGACTCCATCACAAGTGCAGTGACCTGGCTTCCAGCTCCAAAACCAGGAAATCTGTCAGGATATGTCAGGATAAGAGGGAGTTGTCATGAGTTTTCTACTGATCAAGGAATCCTTGGAGAGGCAGGGCCCCGCGCCCTCAGAGTGGCGCCAGTGGGGCGTGGCCCCAGGGTGAGGTTCAGCAACCCATCGAAGCCTGCAGCATCGTGGGGATCTCCTTCGCCCAACTCTTGGCTTCAAGCCATCGAACATGTATGAAAATGCTAGTCATATATAGTTATTGTATGTTATTCATATTTATAATAAATATATATATATAGTTATTGTCATTGGGGATCAGCATTCCCATTGGATCCAATCAGCTATGCCCAGGATGCCGCGCCATTGGGGTAGAATTTGTCCCCTGGCAGAAAGGCCTGGGAGGAGCCATTGTCAAATTGTGGTGCAACCTCTTCAGGTGTGCCTGAAAAGTTGTTCCATGTTGTTCCACATTCCCACTTTCTGGGTAGAAACTAGTTGAGCCGTTGGACAAAGCATGTCTTTCAGTTCTTTGTTGGGCCTCCAGCAGCCCAAAAAAAACATGGAGGGCTCCAAGGTGTGGGGTGCGGGATCCCAACTGGGCCACTTTCAGCTGGGGATCCCCAACTCGACCCAACAATTGGTCGGCTCTTGGCCTTAGCATGGCTGGTGCCTTGCTTCTTTGGAGTTCCAGATGTTCTCCCCATTGCCTGTACCTGTTTGGGGGGAGTTGACGTGAGCTAACCATAGTCATAGAAAACCAGCATCTGTGCATCTGGAACAAGGGGAAGTTGAGGACATCCGTGGCTATCCACTGTAATCTCCACCTGGCAGCTAAATTCAACCCGGTTTCAATGTGGTTCACCAACCCCTGAACTAAAAGGTTGGGTATCCCATTTTATCCCTATTTTGTTGGTTGAATCACCAGTTCCGAATCAGAAGTTACAACCTTTCCAAGCAATGTCACCAGTTAGAACCGCTAGTTGATACACCACACACACACACTCACACACATATATATATATACATATCATATATTAACCATCATATATATATATATCATATATCATACATCATACCTCATATATCATATATATATATGATATATGATGTATGATGTATATATATATACATTACACAAGCAAGTTAAGGGTGAGTTTTGTAACTCCACCAGCTGGGAACTCCAAACGTGTTCTCTGCCCTGTCGCGGCTGTAGATCTCCATGACCAGTGCATCACCCGGATCGTAGCCTGGAGGCCACATGCCAACCTTTCAGAAAGGTGTGGTTTCTGGGTAGACTTCTACGTAATCATCCTGAAGTTAGATGGAATTTCATGGAATCTCATGGAATTTCCAAAGCTCTTCCAGTTGTCTGGTGATATTTTAGTTGAAAATTACAGATGCAGATTCTATCTGCTTCAGGATGACTGTAACTGTAGACATATATATATATATATATATACACATGCATACATGACATGTATACCATACTAGCTGGTCAAAAATATTGGCTTTAGTTTTCATCATGAGTTTGGAACGGGATCGTGGAAACGTCCAACGGATTGTCATTCAAATGTTCCAAAAATTATCGCCCCTTTTTTTGCCAAGGTACATCCTTGGTATAAAAAATTGGGCGTGTGCCTCTCTGATGTGTTGCTTAGTTACATCCAGATCTCCAATATCTCCATCAGTGGCATCTCCTTATTCTCCATGTCATGTTACACAAAGGTTCCATCCCGTCGCCTCTCATGGATCGACTGAAGCGCCACCTGGTAAAAACTGCCGTGATTCAAGGGGAATTGTCCTGGAAACCATGGGGGTTGCCCCCAATTCAAAGAATTTCCTGCAAATTCTCCCCTAAATAAATTCTGAGAGTGATGACTTTGGTGGCAGCTCTATAAGTTTGTGCGTTCCACACTGAATAGATAAATCATGATAAATCCTAGGAAATCTCCTACCGATGGTAGTGAAATGTAATCACGAGATATCATCAGTGATTCAGCCAACAACTATCCACAAATGATGGCACAGTGTTTTTCGATCCAAATCGGGCAAGGGTTCCCATCAATGGCAGCTTTACCTCTCGCAGACCCCAATAACCGGTTTTTGGTAAATTTTCTTTATATATCTACCTCATTTCTCCGTCCCAGAATGGTTCGATGAAAATGGTGCGGGAAAATCCTATCTTATCTTTCTAATTTTATCCCATTCCCGCAATATCAATCAATATCAATCAATATCAATCAATATGACATATCCTGCAAAGAAAAAACTGGAGTGTTTAGTATCAGCGATAGGATCATGTACGATCATGTTGGGTCCCATCTGTGGTACTTCTGGTGTATTGGGAAGGGAAGTGTCCAGCCAAGGCACTCAGGATTTGCGGAGGCCGGCACCGGATCCTCAGCCAGTTGCGCTGTTCGGGTCTTTTGTTTGGAAACATGTCAAAAATGTAGGGTCGTATATGTCGTATATGTCGTATATGGTATATGGTCACTAATATGGTCATATCTCTCTAAGGCATTTTTCTGTGTCATTTGGATCATTTAAGGGATCCCGCTCCAAGGCGTTTTGTCGTTCATTCTGAGGTCGGGTCAGTGTGAATCTTGGAGTGTTTCTTCAAAGGAATCTCGCAAGTGCAGTACCTCCAAAAATCGCATAAAATCGCAACGTGGCCAGTCCCATCAGATCCGCAACGTGTCTGTGTTAGTAAGGCGCGGTAGACACGTCTAGGCACGTCTATTTTGCCAAGGCGCGCCGTAGAACGGTAAAACATGGTCAAACCGTAAAATGGTAAATTCCATGGGTTCCTGAGAAAAGCCACGCAAAACGGTAAATTCGTAAATTTACGATCTGAGCGTGCCCCTTTCGGAGCGTAAAACCAAAACATACCAAAACCGTAAATTTGGTAAATTTGCAAAATTTACCATAAACAAAATTTACCGTAAACCCGTATTTCCGTAAATTGGTAAATTTGGTGCGCTAAGCAAGCATTTCAAGGGGATAAGTGCATGGTTGTAAAATGGTAAATGCGTAAAGGCGTAATGTATCAATGTACTGGAGCGTGAGGAGGAAGAGGCGGTAAAACCGTAAAACGGTAAATTCGTAAAGTTGTATCATGATATATCATGATACTACGAGATTAAAGTTTACAGCTTTACCGATTTACCGAATTTACCTTTGCCCGGACACAGCAAAATTTACCACTTTACCGATTACCCAATTTACCATGGCCCGGAGAGCGTTCTCTCCTTAGCATCATGCCTTACACAGAGAC